CTTCGGATACCTATCTATTTAACGATTATATAAAGTGCTCTAGAAGGCTAGCTACCTAGTTGAAATTACGGTAATTAAGTAACTATCGAAAGTCTACTATCGATGCTAAATATATATACTAGCGTTATTACGGTTTAAATTTACGTTACGAGACGATTACGAATTTAACTATAAGGTTATTACCGACGTAATATACCTTAAAGGTAATAGACCGGTCTTCTACGTCGTCGATACCGCTACGGCGTTTAACGCTGCCTAGTTCCTTAAGGATATTTCTACGAAAGCTACTTAGGAAGCCTTACGCCTCTGCTAGATAGATATATATCAGGGACCCCTAGACTAGCTAGTTACCGACGCTAGAATAAACTTCTACTTAATAGAATTCCGAAACGCGGCGAGAGGAATAGTAATTAAAATCAAGGAAATTCTTATAAAAGCTTATAATAGTATTAGGAAAGTTAAACGATACTATATACTTCTAAGGAAGGCGTACGAAATTATTAAAGTAGAAGACTTAATAATTACGCTAGAATTAGTATTTTAAATAGTAGTTAAAGTAGTTAACGATACTACTAGCCTAAACGGAATAATACTAATACTCTTAGTATTCGGCTTGTACCTACGAATTATTAACGATTTGCTACTATCTCCCGAAGTTATAAGGTAGGCGAAAGCGATTAAGAAGGCGATAAGCGAAGTATATAAACTTTACGTAAGGCGATAGGTAGTAGAAGCTATCGCTACCTATAATAGCCTTGATATAAGGCTAATTATTAATTTACTACTATAGTCGTAAGTATAAGTATAGCGTGAAAAGAAAGGCTAGACTAGACTGTTTACTTTAGTAGTTATAAATAGCGAAACCTATACTATCGATACGCTACGTAGTCCGAAGACCTTCTAGTCTACTATAGTTAAACTATACTACGAAGATCTTAATTAACTACCTAATTCTATCGCCGCGCTAGAAGAAGAAGAACTTAAAGCTAAGATACCGTAGTAGGAAGTAGTACGCGACGAAATTATTATCGCCGGCGGAGGTAGTAAACCGGACGAACCGCAAGAGGCACTGGAGCTACCGAGAAGACGCCCAGGCAGACCTTAGAAGAGACTACTACTAATCGCCTACTTTATAAAGGAATTTAATAATAACCTAGATTATTAATAAATATTCTTATCGATTAAGGAGTAAGTAGATAAAGAATTAGTAATCAAACTATAATAAAAAGGTATTATTATTATACTAAGCAAACCGTTCGAATAGTTAACTAAATAAGAGATTAATAGCCTTATTGCTAGAGGAGTATTTAAATTTACCTAGTTTAATAAGAGAAGGTATTAGAACGTATAAATCTTCCGATCTCGTATCGTTAACGAAGTCAAAAGTAAAATAACTAAACCTTATAAGAAATCAAGACTTATAATATAGGGTTATGCCGACGATAGTAAGAAGGCTATATTAACCTAATCGCTAACGATTTAGCAAGCAAGTTAATAGCTAATTCTATTAATTACCTTATTACTCCTACGAGAAGGGAAATAACTATAGCTTCGAGATATTATATAAGCCTACGTTTAATCCTCTATAAGGCTTAATCGTACTATTCTCGCCTACCTACCGAAGCAAATTTAAGACTAGTACTTAAAAGGGACTATTATAAAGGTTATAAAGCCTTTATACGGAATCGCAGAAGCTAGAACCTACTAGTAGGCAACGTATTATAAGCATTATAGAGAGAATCTCTAGATAGTTACTTCTTCGTACGATCTATACTATTGATCTTATCTACCGAAAATCTATACTTTGGCTATATCGGTATATAAACCGACGATACCCTCGGTTTATTAGACAAGGCGTTCTTATAATTAGAAGACGAATAGTTAGAAAAAGCAGCTTTTATAGTAAAAGCGAAGAATATCCTTATAATTAACAAACCTTTCTAATTTAATAGAGGGATAATCGCGCTATTAACCGATAATTCGATTAATTTAAAGCAAAAGGGATAAGCTAAGAAGTTACGATATATTAAGACTACTAAACCTAACCTAAAATAGTAATATGTCGAACAACGCGCTAGAAAGGCGTATATCGCGTTAATTTACTAACCCGAGGCTTGTTTCGATTTATCTACTACTACCTAATACTAAGACCCCTTGCTAGAAGCGATAAAAGTACTAAATTAATAGATTCGATAGCAAATAGAATTACCTAACCGAGGAATAACGTTTATCTTACTCGACCTTATAATAGCTAAGCTATTCGTTTTCGTTAATAAGTCGTTTACTAATAACTACGACCTTTCCTCCTAATTAAGGTTTCTAATTATCCTAGCTAACGATACTTCTTCTAATAGTAATAACGGAGAATTTACGATTTACGGTAACCTTATTTATTATAGCTTTACGAAAAGTAAATAAGTTACCTATAGCGTATTAGCGTTAGAGATCTACGGGATAGTCGCTAGCGTCGATATAGCTTACGCCTTCGCTATAACCTTAGCGATAATTACTAACTACCTTAACCTACTAACGATTTAGATAGTTATCTATACCGATTCTTATTTACTATATAAGTATCTCGTAAAGCTAGGTATTACTAAAGAAAAGCGACTTATAATCGATATTATAGCGTTAAGATAATTATACGAAAGACGAGAACTATAAGAAATTCGTTAGATTAATAGCGAAGACAACCTTGCTAATACCCTTACGAAGAGCAAACTAAATCAAGCCTTCGAGAGATTCGTTAATAGCAACACGATAACGATACGTATAGAGGGATAGGTAACAAGACCGTAACTATAGGAGAAAGTAGGGATAGGAGGCCGAATTAACGAGGAGACGGAACTATATAGGGATAACGTATTCTAACCGCTTTAATACTATAAAAAGAGAGTTTCCAGTGTTGCGATAGTTGGAATACGGAGTCGTATAGCACTTCCAGCCACACGCCCGCCAGGCTGAGAGGCCCAAGCCTCCCAGACCCACGTGACAGGCCAAGGGGGAATATCCCCACCTTCTAGTCAACAACACCACTTTCAACTATCATGAACCATCGATTAGAACCAATTTACTGTTATTTGTTATTGACGAACGGAATTCCGTTTCACCCCCTGTGAAACCTACAGCTTCAACTAAGTATGGCTGCCCAGCCAAAGATTGTTTTCCTGAGATGGACGGTGGCACCAAGATTCGTTCCATCTCTGCGGGGTGTATCGGTTGAGTAATAGAGTCAAAAAGATGGTACTTACAAAAGAGTCTATTGAAGTGCAGAGCAGCCGCCGAATGAAGAGCGCTATCGCAGGGCATATATCAATATTAATCAGGGGCATCGACTTTTCGGCTAATTGTGATACGCTTCTTGCGATCGGATAATGGATCCGGGGCGTTTTCTTCATCGGATGTCGGCACCTCATATTGCCAGCATCCATTGGCACTGAGTATGACAAGCCAGTCAGTTGATCACGAAGTTGTTGCTATAAGTCGGCAGAAATGGGCGCCGATGGCTCGGCGCCGGACATGTCTTCAAGACCGAGGCCGCCCGCCGCGAAAGGCAAACGTGTTTTGGGTAAGGTACGTATAGTATTCGACGTCGCGACGGACCCTGCTTGGAACGATCCGATATATCCGATGGTTAGGGGTCGGCCACTCTATGATTAGTCTCACCAAACCAAGGCGACCATTCAGTTAGATGAACAATGATGTATGACTGCGTAGGCATCTGACTACATGGGTCTTCTTAAGTATGCTGATTGAGGTGTATATAAATAAATTACCTAGCACGAATGCATGGCACAACTACGTTGTTCAGTCCAATGTCGCTCGACACGAGTGGACTTCAGTTTCTGTACTTATCGCATATGAAATACGACACAAGGACTCTGTCCAAGACGAAGGGGAGCCTAGCAGGAGTTCTTATCTAGAGGCACAACGGCTTGATGCAGGATTTAAGCCTTGCTAGCGCTTTTACTATGCAATGGGGTAAAAGAAACTGTAAAGGCCCACTAGTACAGAAAAACTCAATTAGAGTACCTTTGTAAAAACGTAAAGCTACACTATAACGCAAGTCAGATTTATTTGTCAGCGGACTTTCGAAGGAAGAAAAAGGGGAACATGACTCCCTAGCAGAGTTGCCATGTCACAAGGGCCCGTTGTCTGCAGAGATACTTAGAAGAGTCAAGTATATCCCGTGTATCTGATAAATAAATAAACAAGATTTTGTCTTGTGCCGTCATCGAAGATACGGTTTTGGTATGATGATACAACTCCTAAATGCTACTGAGGATGATATTCTCCTTCGACAAGAAGTAAACACAATCCTAACATTAGTACGTCATGAGAGAGCGATGGTGTTGGATTTTCAGCGCTGTAGCACTTCCTAATCAGCGTCTACTATACTTGTTGTACCTAGCATTGACAAAAACAAACTTGAAAATGGAAACAACTAAGGTTATCAAGTGTGGTCATTCAGCAAACTCTTGAAGGTTCATCTCGGCATGAGTATTAGCCAGCTTACAAGGGTCAAATTTACTCTTCCGAAAGTGTCACTCAACGATAGTCATCTCAGAGAGGAGAAAGTGGTTAAGCAAAAGCTGCTGGAGAAACTACAAAGCGTTCAATTGACGTCGGAAAATTAAAGGTAAGTGGTTCCCTCGGTACACCACACAGAAGGTATATGCTTCCTAGATAATCCGTTAAATGCCCTGGATTGGAAACCAAATGCTTCCAGGCAATATGACTGCGAATTCAATCCTTTCGCTTATGTGTCAGTAATAGGCAGCAAAGCCACGTGATATCACTGAACCTATCTCTTCCTTTCATTGGGTCTACCTGCAATGTACCCAACCCCACATCAACCATCTGGCAAGGCTGTGCTGTGTTCAACTGCTATGATATTTATCTTCCCGTATCTCTCCACATCAGCATGTCAATCCCAATAGAAAGATTTACGACGAGACTTCGCCATCACTCTTAGTCGGGTCATGTGAAATCTTGGCGAGATGTCGCAACAGTTGGCAAACGAAAATTACACAGTCGGTTGGATATGTGCCATCGCCACGGAACGTGTTGCCGCGCAAGCATTTTTGGACGAAGAACATGCAGAACCCTCATTCGTGGCTGAACGCGACGATAACGATTACACGTTAGGAAGGATTGGGAAGCATAATGTGGTTATTGCTGCCTTGCCAGACGGAGAATATGGCATAGCTTCTGCAACCGGTGTGGCGACAGACATGCTTCACAGCTTCCCCAATATTCGAATCGGCCTGATGGTTGGGATTGGAGGCGGGGCTCCCAGCCCCAGAAATGATATCCGTCTAGGTGATATTGTTGTTAGCGCTCCTCGTGACGGCCGCGGCGGCGTATTTCAGTACGATTTTGGGAAGGCGATACAGGACCAGGCCTTTCGAACGACAGGATTTCTTGAACAACCACCAACTGTCTTGCGTACAGCTGTCAGTGGACTTAAAGCTCAACATGAGATTAATGGCCATCAGTTACAGGAAGCCATCAAAGAGGCTCTTAACAGAAAGCCAAGGTTGCGGAAGCGATATAGTCAACCAGACCCCTTAAGTGATAGGCTGTATCGGTCCGACTTTATACATCCATCTGGTGATGAAACGGATTGTGCGACCTCCTGTGGTTATGATTCTTCAAGGATGATCGCAAGACCTCCACGGGAAGAGGAAGATGACAACCCGGCTATTCACTACGGCTTGGTAGCCTCTGCTAACCGGCTGATGAAGGATGCCTTGGTTCGGGACAAGCTTGCCCAAGAGAAAGGGGTTCTTTGTTTCGAGATGGAAGCGGCCGGGCTGATGAACCGCTTCCCGTGCCTAGTCATACGTGGCGTATGCGACTATTCTGACACGCATAAAAACAAAGAATGGCGAGGGTATGCAGCCATGGCGGCAGCTGCTTATGCAAAGGACCTACTGAAGAGAATTGCTCCAAACAAAGTGGAAGCTGAGAAAAAGATGGCTGAGCTTCTTGGAGATGGTTAGTCGTTTTTTTTTTTTTTTTTTTTTTTTGCGTATTCGTAATTATCTGAAGACAATTTAAATTATTGGCTGATATTTATAAGTCAAGGAACAATTGTCCAACATTCAAAACACAGCCAACGAGACTAGCGACAAGATTGAGAGTCTTCAGGCTGAAAATCTTGTTATGGAGATCAGAAAATGGCTTGCACCCCCCGATGCCTCTAGCAACTTCAACAGAGCGCGATCGCAACATCAGCAAGGTACTAGTCAATGGCTCCTACAAAGCGACATTTATCAGAAATGGAAAGGAAAGAGCGACCCAAATACTTTCCTGTGGCTCAATGGCATCCCAGGCTGCGGCAAAACAATTCTCAGCTCTTCCATTATTGCTGATTTAGACGCTAACCCTGCTTCCTCTTCGGGGCTACTTTTCTTCTACTTTGACTTCAGTGATACAGAGAAACAGACTGTGAGGCAGGCTCTACGCTCGCTCATCAGCCAGCTATACAGCAAGCAACACGATACCCGGAAAGAGGTCCACCGCCTTTTCTCTTCTTGTAATTCCGGAGGCCGGCAGCCAAGCGACGGCGAGCTGCTCTCTTTGTTTCAGAGCATGGCCAAAGAAACGTGCGAGTTGTGGATCGTTTTGGATGCACTTGATGAATGCGAGGCGCGGAATGGAAACTCTGCCAATAGGCTTCTATCATGGATCAAGAGCCTTCACAACACGGCATCTAGCATCCACCTTCTTGTCACTAGTCGGCCTGAACAACATTTGAAAGCTGATATTGAGCAGTGGGCGAATGATGAAGATGTTATCTCTCTTCAAGGCAACCTGGTGGAGGACGACATCGCACTGTATGTTAAAAATGAAGTTAGCAGGATGAAACGATGGCATCAGCGACAGGATATCCAGCACGAGATCCAGCAAGCTCTGACGGAAAAAGCCGGCGCAATGTAAGTTGTTTTTGTCTTTGATACCCGGGAAGAGAAGGTTAAAGGAAAAACAGGTTTCGCTGGGTCTCATGCCAGGTTGACATGTTGCAAAACTGTCTCGATCCGCTTGCGATACGGAGAGAACTGTCAAGTCTTCCACGGACGTTGGATGAGACATATGCACGAATTTTGCGACAGTTGCGGCCAGAACACGTGCCTTATGCTACACGACTACTTCAATTCTTGACCTACTCTGAGCGACCACTCCAGCTCGAAGAAGCTGTCGATGCAATTGCGGTGGATACTACACGACGCCCTGGGTTCAAACCGGAAAATCGAATGCCCAGCCCAGACGAAATCACAAGGTACTGCTCCGGTCTAGTAGTTGTTGTGTCACGGCCAAATATCTACGGCAGACACATCGCAAGAGAGATACAGCTTGCGCATTTCTCTGTACAGGAGTACCTCAGGTCTGACCGCCTACAGCCAGAGTTAGCTCGAGAGCTTAACGAATCAGCTTCTAGAACCGCAATGGCGGAAGTATGCCTCTACTACTTACTAGACTTGGACCACTCCCTCGCAAGAGATGCCGCGAAGTTATATCCTACATATTTGGCACACTACTCCGCCCAATATTGGGTCAGAAATGCTAAAGTGGCTGAAATTTGTAACAGAGAAGCTCTTCCAGCTGTCAAAGAGTATCTTTCGTCGCCAAAAGCCTTTGGTTTTGGGTTCAATCTATATCCACCGGAACCTAAAATGTCTCGAAAACTTCCAGAAGAAAACCCAATGTATTATGCAGCTCTAGGAGGGCTGGTCTTTTCTGTCTGGACGTGTATACAAGACGGAGCAGATGTCAACGCACAAGGTGGAGAGTATCATAATGCACTTCAGGCTGCTTCAAACGGAGGTCACCGGGAAACAGTACAGCTCCTACTACAGAACGGTGCTGATGTTAATAAGCAAGGTGGATTCTTCGGAAATGCGCTACAGGTTGCTTCGTTCCGGGGTCAGGTTGAAACTGTAAAGCTCTTACTTATGAAAGGCGCTAACGTTAACATACAAGGGGGCGTGTATGGCAATGCTCTACAGGCTGCTTCACGATGTGGACATGGTGAGATTGTAGAGATGCTGCTTTCAATGGGTGCGGATATCAATGCAAAAGGCGGATTATACGGTACTGCCCTTCAGGCGGCTTCAGGGAGAGGAAATGAGAGGATTGTGTTGACACTACTTTCGAAGGGCGCAGATGTTAACATAGAAGGCGGCTGGGATGGGACGGCACTTTGCGCTGCTTCGCTGAATGGAAATGAGAGGGTTGTAAAGATGCTATTGGATAAGGGCGCAAACGTTCATGCAAACGTTCATTCAAACGGCGGAGAACGTATCAATGCTCTTGACGCCGCTTTATTGTCTGGCTACGGAAAGATTGCGGAGATGTTGTTGGAGAAAGGTGCCAAAAACTCGAATAATGTCACGAAGAGATACGGTAACCACAAGGGTCTCCTTTCAAGAGCGAAAATTGGCATGTTTCTGTTAACCTACTATTAATCATATAAATAACCATCTTTAAGGTTTATACTTTTTATAACAACCTTTAAGATTAACGTACATGATAAGCGAGTGAGACAGACAAGCGAGTGAGACAGACAAGCGAGTGAGACAGTAAACCAGACCTTCGCGACAATAATATCGAAATCTATAACAAGAAATCTTAGATTGATTAATACTACTCGGATTCCTGTTCTTCGGATGTTTCCTCAATAAATTGACATGTTCTCGCGTTGTGGCCTGTATTCCCGCATACGCCACACCGACGATGAGTCGTCTCAGACCTCACTTTGCGACCACTACTCCGTCGCGTTTCCTCTTGTAGTTGCGTGTCTGCCTCTCTTTGCGACTGTATATCCTCTCCAGTAGATATAGTAAGACTTCCTCCTTTCTGTAGACGTGTTTTCTTAGCCCTTCGACGCCGACTTAATATTGCATTCTCCTCTCGAAGGATTTGAACCTCTGACTCTAGTAATGCTACCCGATGCCCTAGTCCTTCTGTCCCTCTGGCTAGCTTACTCACAGCACTATAAATTGATGCTGGAGAGCTGCTTCGGTGGCGTGAGATTCGACTCTTAATAAAAGTAGACTGTGATCTTGCTTCGCTTAGGTTGCTCGGCGTCCTAGAGATCCAAGGGTCTGGTGTCTGAGGGACCCCCTCCTCAGGCGTTGGCGTTCGGAACTTTACATCCAGCTTTGAGAGAACACTTTCTGCATTCAAAGGGACAAGTCCAGCTCCTCGGAAACCTCCCTGGATATTTTTCCTCGTAAAAGACTGCTTAAAAGCTTCGTGAAATGCTGCAAAGAAATCTTCCTTCGAGATATGGGTTGTGCCTCGCCGCATCTTATTCTCAATTTGCCGACCGTAGGCATTCTTTAACGGCTGAAAACAACCAACATCTAAGGGTTGAAGTAGATGAGACGAGTGAGCCGGCATGCACAGTGTAATAATGTTGTTTTCTTGACAAAAGAGCTCGAAGGCTGCGGAGTGGTGACTTTCATGACCATCAACAACGAGGAGGCGATATTTCCCAGACGTACGTGGTTTTGTATAAATGTCGAAGTGTCTGATCCAGTCAATACCTCTCTCGTTTGTTGTCCATCCATTTTCAGACGTTGCAATAGCCCAATCGCCCGGAAGAGAGGTTTCTGTATACCAGCTTGAGAGGTGATACTGGCCTGCAACGATGATGTATGGCGGGATGCTCTCCCCTTGGGAATTAATAGCCTGGATAACTGTAACCCATTCCCTATTGCCAGGCTGTGTCATCTTCGTATTTGAACGCCTTTCAGCACTTGTAACAACCATTCCAGAAGCAATAACGCCCATCATAAAGCCGGTCTCATCAAAGTTGTAGATATCAGCATCAGCAATACCATACTTCGCAATTGTATTCTTCACAAGCGAAAACCAGCCACGAATCACCTCTGGATCTTCGCATTGAGCTCTCTTATAGTCATACTTGCGAAAGAAACGCGTCCTAAGCTGTGGTTGTCGCTTGACGAAATTAGAAGCCCAGCGCTTCCCAACTGGAGGCGCGTCGCGCTCTGCGAGAAGTCGATTGGCCATTTCTTCCACACCACTCAGCCGGGGAGGAAATGATCGCGCATCTAGGTCGAGAATATACTCAACTATTGTCTTCTCTTCTAAATCTGATAAATTCCGTGAATTAGGCATGCTGTCGCGTCGTGAGACTATTCCCTTTAGTCGCCGGCTTAATGTTGCGTGACTGACTGTATAGAGTGCACCTGCGGCCCGAGCACTAAGTTTTGGGTCATTTCTCATTGCTTGAAGGGCAATTTGTAACCTTCTTTCAATACTAGCTGATTCCATGATTTATTGTAGAGGAAAAGGTGCCGGTCGCGTCAAGGTGCGACGGTCGCGGTTTACTGTCTCACTCGCTTGTCTGTCTCACTCGCTTATCATGTACGTTATACTTCTTACAAAATAACCAAGCGTTGCCGAGTTATCCTTATCAGCTTGCCACTGTGTTCCGATGCAACCTGAGTTCCTGAAATCAGAAAGACACATAACAGAATCTACACAATGCCGTAAACATGAAGAAAATTTCCAGATCATCCAGTGTTGTTTCAACTAAGTGCCTACTCAACTTGTGACCACTGCTCCGTCAGCTGTGCGATCATCATCCAAGTGCTGGCGCTATTAGACTGGCTCATCCCCGCGGACATCTGGTTCCTGAACGCCGCGCTTGTGGCGCCTTCTGCCGTCTCATGCCACCCAAGTGTGCTGTTGCCGTGCATATATCCATCTCCTGTACCATTGATAAGCTTTATACTCTCGATCCCCTGATACGTAATGCTCATCATTCCAGCATGCATGGCGTTCATCATTTGCATCTCCTGCATCTGCCTCAACATCCGGATTTGCAGAACCGTCTGAACGTACACACCATGCCTCACCCTTGAAAACTCCACGAGTTCATCGGCGCTGCCCGTCTTACACGCTTCTACCCACTTTCCTCGCATGCGTGGAGAGTACATACAGCACATCCTCGTTTCGGCGACAAGCTGGTTGTCAAACTCCATTTTGACCCCAGGAGCAGGGGACGAGTCCTTGCAAAAGGTAACCCAGCATTCTGGACAAATCGTGCAGTCATCCCAGCCGTACCATTTGCGGTTACCAACCTGATCTATCTTAGGGCACGTCGGGATCCCCGAGAACTTACGCACCCAGGCAGAATATCTAGACCAGACTCCTGTCTCGATCCCCTCCTGCATTCTGTACAACTGCTGAAACCATCGCGGCGCCGAGCGCTGGAAGCTGCACAGGTACGCCTGGGAGCTGTCTAACCCCGTTACCCTCTGGTAGAATCGGTCGAGTTTCCATGTGTTGACGTAGGCAGCGTAGCACGCGGCACAGAGCATTAAGTCGTCGCAACCGCCCCCAGCCAGAGTATACCATGTCCCATCGACGATGCCTTGCTCGGTACATGAAGGAGAGGACACGATGACCTCTGCCGCCTTGACGAGGACGTTGATGTCTTTCTGTGATTTAGCCGCTGCTATCGCGACGTACACCGGAAAACTTGAGGCGCTGCAGACCCAGGGGTCGGGGGCTTGCGTGCGGTATCCAAGGGCCACGTCCATCCAGTCCAAGCCTGTCGCGCTAGGCTCTACATCGATCAGTTCAAATTCGAGTCCAAGGGGTGTGTATGCTAGTGTCTCCTCGTAACACTTTTCGCAGATCTTCATTTCCGGGACCTTCTTCCCGCAGAGATGTACCCATCGCCTAGAGGAGGGGGAGACAGCCTTGGTTTTCTCGCACTGAGGAAGTTTTACGTGCTTGGCAGCTGCCTCCACCCAACCCTCCCAAGTATGTCCGGGTAGTTTGGAGTATTTGAGTATGGTCCTGCCGAGGAAAGGAATGCATATATCGCAAGCCCAGCTTGCGTCTGCAGCTTGTATCTTATCGTGCGGTCCCCAATGCTGGCGCAGTGAGGTGCCGAGAATGATGTCTTCATAGCAAGCCTCGCACGAGATCATACCCATGTCCGAAAGACTCTTCTCAAGAGGTATGAACCATTTGATCCCCGCAGTCCCCTTGACACCTGCTTGGCCATGACAGTCCGGTACTTCGAGACGCTTGGACATAAAGTCCTTGATAGGCTGGAAATCTTTGGTCTTGAGATATTCCGGAAGGAGCGCTCTGGTAATGCGAGGAACGTTAAAGCGGCATCGTCCTTCAGGCCGTTTTACACGAGTAAACGAGCTTGAAGAAGGCGTTCCTGAAAGGTACATCTCATGGCAGCGGGTACAGACGATAAAATCCGGGATCTCTGGTATATGATACCACTCGCATTCATAGTCGATAACGCGCTGATCCGGACACTCCCAGATGACGTCGTTGGGTTTTCCATCTTCGACTACAGTAGGAATCGGCCTCTTCCACTCGTGGAAGTCTTCATCTTCAGGGCCCAGAGGGGTAGGGTCCGGCAAAAGAGTGGGCTTTAGGCTTACTCGACTCAGTTGAGAGGAGATTTGGTCAATGGCCGGAGCTGGAATTTGCTGTTGTGGAGCAGCCACATGTCCAGATCGAACATCCTGGACCGGATGATAAGGCGTCTCAGGCTTCGAGACTGGAGTATCGGCAGGTCCTGGCGGCCCTACTGGCTTAGAAATACTCGGAATGGGTGGAGTATATCCTGTAATTGGCTCCTGAGGGCCGGTTGCATGGCTGCCTACAGGAGGTGTCATCTGAGGCACTGGTGGGGGAGGAGGGTAGTAATTTTGCTGTACATGGTTGGATGGTGCGCCGCTTTGTGTTTCCTCCGCTGGAATGACGGTAGTTGCAGTTGTTTGGTTTGTGGGTGTGTTCAAATGACTTGGCGGTTGGCTATGATAGGGCTCATGGATGGAGTATCGAGCATCGCTTGGGGCCTCGTAAATATCCGTAGCGTGGGCCTGTTGAACGGATTGTGCCTGAGGAACTTGTTGAAGTATTGGCTGCTCGTTAACTGCTGGAACAGGAGGAAGCTGTGGCAGAATAGCTCCAGGTATGTTTGGGATCGGAGTTGCAGGGGAAACACTTGGGTGATGTTGAAAGGAAGATATTGGCGGAGATACAGCAGGGGAACTAAAAGCAGGGGAAGGTTGTCCTGCTGGCAGTGTTGGGTGATGGGGTTGTTGAATTATACTCTGCCTTTGTGGAACAGTCGTAGGTACCGTTGGTGTTGAAGGATGATGGTGGTTTTGAGGTTGTACCGGCACGGAGGCGTTGTAGGAGTGAGGCGGTGGCGTCTGCACTGCTCCCGGAGGAGTACCAGTATGTATGACTTGATGATACTGGGCGGCCTGAGGGTAATGATACTGAGGCTGTGAACTCGCCGTTCCTGGTTGAGTTGGAGGCACAGATGACGGATTGACGTTTTGATATTGAGCGTGAGGTTTCACATGGGCATTGGGCTGCGATGGTTGCTGTGGAGGTTGGACAAGATATTGGGAAAGTTTGGTTCTCGCTTTAGACTTGAGATCCTGATAGGACCCAAGTAGCTTTTGAGTGTTCAAATAGGGTTGAATGGTTTGCAGCTGGCTTTTCATTGGGGGTCTGGTAGAGGATGGAACGGGGCTAGGCGTCTGATACGCGTGCGTTGAGGGTGATCCGTACGGCTGCTGAGCAGACGGAGTCGTCGCGACATGCTGTGGCTGCTGTGGCTGCTGTAGCCAGCTTCCCGTAGGGTATCCCTGCGGGTTGGCTGGATAGGAGAGGGGAGGAGGGGCAGCGTGAGAGGGCATCGGTTGCACGTTGAAGCCACCAGCGGCTGGTACATACCCTCCCACATTCTGAGGAGGTTGATAGTGTTGAGCTGGGGGATATGGTGTCTGGGCATTCGGCTGCGGTGGGTACTGAGCCGCCTCCGGACTCACGATACGGGGCGGAAGAGGCGGAGGAACACCAGTTTGTCCTGGAGGAGGGGGAAAGTAGGGGTAGTTCTTATTAGGATCCATGTTTGCTTCTGGATTTCGAAATTCACTGACTCTTGATATTCCTCTTGCCAAGGTAGTGGGATAACTATAAGATGAGGTTTAAGAGAAACTCTGCCCTGGCATGCGGAATGAATGGGAAATGTTGTTGGGTATCAACTGGCGTAACCAGGGCCTCAGCCGCAGCGGGGCGCCGGGCTGATTTTTGGCCGTCTGAGAATGTGCATATGATTAGTTCGTGAGGTTGCAAGCCTGACTGTTTTGGAGTAACACCTGAGACCTCACATGGGTTAGCGCCATTGCTGGCTGAAGGCAACTATCAAGCCACAATCATGCAAGCCGTTGAAAGCAGCTTCCTAGGCGTTTTCGACTGCTGACTACATCACTTCTATCATGACCGGAAATGAACATAACTAGAGCTTAAAGAAAGAATTTGGATGAAAACCAATGATCGGCAGTCGACGGTCAGCGTGATTGCTGGCAAGGCTGATTTGCACAGATTTTGGTTTTGTGTTAATTGTGATACACTCTTAACTGCAACGTAACTTTTGATTAGGAACCAAGAACGCCTGTGAACAGTGTGTAAAAGAGCATCCTTTAAATAGCTAGGGATTTTAATCACCAGTCCTCCCGTTTTTCTACCTGCCCGAGATGATGTGTTGTTGCCTTCTAAATGGGAGGCTATCAAATGATTTTGCACTTTGTTTGTTACCAAAAAGTAGAATTGACACCAAAAATGCGTGACTGGAAGCCATCTGGTATGGGGAACGTATACTTCAAAGGTCGATTGCAGGCTCACGAACTAACATACTGTTTACCAAAACTGTTTTAAGTCAAAATGCAAGAAAACAGCCATGCGGTGGAAAAAGACTAGCGGCCACTTTATCTCCTAAACTAACCACGGAGATGTGCTAATATGGAAATAAAACAACTTCCAAAGATGTAGTCAGACAGGGTCCACGATCACCATCGTGTTCATCTTCTCAATGCGTCCATTTTGTTGGAGGACCTAGTCACCCACGAATAACCTCGAACTACGTGGAATAAATTAAGCTAAAAGATTCGCCAAATACTTCGGTTTTTTGTTTGATTCTGTAGGAAATCTCATATATGGTCGGTTGCTCAGTCCATGTTTAGAGCGACTAGCATGATAACGAGGCTTACCGTCGACACAAGAGCAAACTACCAAAGTTCCATTTTGAGTATCTCAAAGCTACAGATAAGCTAAATCCACACAATTCCTATAGGAATGAGCTTTTATGTTACTCACTTTATGCCCTAACATATTGGATGATCTTGGCCCGGCCGCACAGTCTTTAGAACTCAACCACGATCGCCTAGGGTTTCTTGTTGTCATAATTGTCCCTGTGACCATTGTTAACTTTAGGATACACAAACATCAACACTGTTGGGCAAAGAACCCTTAAAAGCGATACCAAGATGATTTTAAGTAGTTGTCATTAAATTTGATCTGATATTATACAAGAAAAATTCATGTACTGCCAAAGCAGATGTGGTATCATATTCGTACAACACAATTTCATTCCATCCATAACATTATCCCTCCCAATACGCCTGCGCTAGTTTTGGGCTGTCATATTCGTATACACATCATGTTTACAGCTCGGCAGTCAATGAAAAAAACTGCTGTTGGTCCTACTCGGCACGGAGCGTCCCAAGTTTAGTAGCGGCGACGGTGCCACCAGCGGCGGCGACGGTAGGCAGTATGGGTAGCAGGGGGAGAGTAGTGGTCGACCTTGGCGCGCTGCTGGCGGCGCTTATGCAAGCGACCGCTGCAGCAGGTGAAGAAGACGACGATGGTACCGATAAACAGGCAGATGGCGGCGGCCAGCAGGGTCCAGAGCGCGACGTCGAAGTGGGCGTAGCTGTCGCTGTCACCACCATCCTCGTCGTTGTTGACGTTGGAGCGGATAAGAGCAAAGCCAACCCAGTCGCAGACAAGGGACACCAAGGTGAGAAGGAAGGCAATACCAGAGACCAGGGCTGCAAAGAGCGAGCCAAACATGCCAGCGCCAACGGACAGGATGAAGGCGATGAAGGAGACGCCTGCAGCGATGGGGTGGATAATCATGACGCGGGTCAGAGCCTCAGCAGTGTTGGAAGAGTAGTCCGAGTACCGAGTGCCGTCGGACTCGGCCACGATGCTGGCGGGGTCGTAGCCGATCTGCGACTTTGAGCAACGGTCGGAGCCACTGGGCATGAGTTAGCTAGTATTGATAAAGTGAAGGAGAAGCTGTCTTACTCTGCGTTGGCACCACGGATGCAGTACCCAAAGGTGCCGAAAGTTATCTCATCGCCGGCAGAAGCATCTCCGAGCTTCACTGTCAAGATCGAGATGTTGTTTACCACTGGCGAGGAAATGCTGGTAACGACCAGGAGGACTGTTGCTACGAGAAGCAAAAATGTCCCAAAGTGGTGGATGAAGCCTGTGACAGCCATGGTGATAAAAGCTTTACTGCCGGCTGGCTATTTGGGAAAGGTGTTTATTGATTATTGTGAATATTATTTAAATTGATGAACGGCGATGGAGTACAGAACGGATGAGCAAATCGTCCAAGGGAGGGCGAGGCCGTCCGCATATAAGCACGCCGTCTCAAGACCCCTGAGCTGGACTGGGCATCAGGGAATTCGTATGATGTACGATGATCTGTGACCGTAACCACGCTGGGCAGAAGGTTCGGGACCTAAGCTGCCGTGTAAGTCAGGGACTCTACGAAGACTGACGGGTGCGACGTCATAATCGTGGCCGTGGCCAAGACTGGCAGTCAATTTTCGTGGCTTGAAAATTGGAATGGTCCCTTGTTCGTGTAGACACCTCCCCTGTGTCACGCTTGGCGAATTGGAGAGACGCCCCGGTGATTATTCTCTAAGCTTCGAGCAAAAGCCGGTGATGGCTTTGGCAATAGAACGTGGCATTGGGGCAGCCTATCGTGACGTACTAGCGTAATCGCTAAGTTGATTGGCCCGTCGCGGCGTTGCTTGCCGATCTAGGGTATTGCAGGCTGCAGGCGTTCCTTGTTTTGTGGTCCTGTAATGACGCCACGCCCTGAGCCAACCCTGGCAATCGTAGTCCAACTTCAACGTCAGAGTCGCTTGCCAGCTGACCGTCCCTATTGCCAGCCTTAGAGATTTCCTTGCAGATGGACCTGCGGCTTGTCGTCAGGAAACAAACATCGCGTAGCGCTAGCGAGGACCCTGAAAGACATTTTCGTCATTACCAAGACTTTTGTCTAAAGTTTTGCCGATGTTGAAATGTCAACTGTTTGTACTGTGGGTGGTTCGCTGGCAACAGCGATAATATTGACAGTTCAGTGCATCGCCGAGACCCGCATAAAATGAGTTTATGCAGCCGAAACATTAACAGTTCCGTCCGATGATCTGGCCCAATCCAAAGCCCTTTTTTGCAGCCATAACTGCCATCTTGTCTGCTGAAGGGGCTAGCTGCCAACGGTCGGAAAATGCTATTCCGTAACGTGGCATGCCTGGCCAAGCTGGGCCAGTTTTACACCAGCTAATCATAGGCCTGTGTGCAGAGGGCAGCGCCCTTTCCAAAATCCTCATCTTCGGAACAGCAAGGTTAAATCGCAAATTCTTGAAACCAGTGCCATGACTGAATCCTAGTGGTTAGTGCCATGCCATAGCCGAGTGAAGATGCGCAGTATCGATGCACAATGTTCATTCCGAAGAAGAATGTTGTGTGCTCATGTAGCATGCCGAGCTCACTGGTGTCGTTGCTGCTCTTGGAGATGCAAAAGTCCATCCATGATAGCAGGCAACTTCTCCCGTTGTTCACGGCGCTGTATACGGTCGATAACAGCGCGCGTGCTCGCGTCAACTGACTTGGTTCCTAGGAGAATATCTTCCCAAAGCTGGCCTCTGGCAGAGACTGGAACCTGGCCCCCGGTCTCCCAGTCTGATAACCCGTCCGTCATGATATCTTGAGGCAGGGACTCCTTCAATATAGCCGAAATAGCTGTTTCTCGGCGTGTCTCGGGCCAAGGCCCGTGAAGAGGTGATGACTTGATCGCAGCGGAGTGTATGTACGTATCGGCGGGGAAGATGTGCACCGTGAAGTCTTTATGATCATCCTCAGACGGCGCTTCTTTTGAATCTTCAGCCTTCTGTGGCTCTTTTGAATTGATAATTGGATCGGTCGAGGTCGCGGTCGTCAAAAACGTCTTTACGGATCCGTTGGGTCGAGGCATCGCGAGTTGATAATGCAGCGGGCTCATGTTGACAAGCTCCTTGGCTTTGGACTTGTCTGCAAGGACAGATATAAAGGATGAGTTATGGTCCTGAATTGAAGCGATCGAGTCAGCCGGAGGTCATAGTGTAAGTTACCAAGTAGAGCCTTACATCGAGCTTTCTAAACACGTCGACTTTGGCGAACTTTTGCAGCGAGTGCAGCACGGCGCGTCGCTCCGCGAAACTTGCTGGCCTCGGGGACACGGTGACCTGGATTGTACGGGAGGCCACCTTTTGAGAAAGGCCCTGGAGAACGGCGTACCCTTTGGAAGACATTGCGCGGGGCGGAACGGTGATTGCAGCGAAATGTCACATGTATCGCGAAATTCCCATCTTCGACTTGGAGCTCCACTCAAAGTTGTCAAGCTCCAGTGGAGTCTTTTTACCGTGTGATTTCAAAGATTTGTGGACGTTCGCACTGCCCCTGGGCTGGGGTGCCCCGCCATTGGCGGGGGGTGAGCGCTCTGCGCCCGAGCCCTTCTAGAACAGCTTGGAATGCGCCTACGACATCCAACTCTGCTATCCATCTCTCGAATCCAGACCCGAATCCAAGAAGTCTTGGTTACAGGCACAACTTACAGACACCGCATTACCCAAGCAAACAGTCTGCTCAACCCAACTTCCACAGCCGCCTCGAAATACCCAGCAAGTCGTCCCACTCCAAGATCGAAATAATCAACCATGGCCGCCATCATTGACGCAGACGACGTGATGGAGCCCACGCTCCAATCCCTCCTCGACCAGCGCTCGCTGCGCTGGATCTTCGTCGGTGGAAAGGGTGGTGTCGGAAAGACCACCACATCTTGCTCCCTTGCCATCCAGCTCGCCAAGCACCGCAGGTCGGTTCTCCTCATCTCCACCGACCCGGCGCACAACTTGTCGGACGCCTTCAACCAAAAGTTCGGAAAGGAGGCCCGCCTCATTGACGGCTTCACCAACCTGAGCGCTATGGAGATCGACCCCAACGGCAGCATGCAGGACCTTCTCGCTGGTCAGGGCGAGGACGTGGACGCCATGGGCGGTGGTTTGGGCGGTATGATGCAGGACCTTGCGTTTGCTGTACGTTTACTACGTCACCTTTTCTTCTCCGAAACCCCAAGACTAACTTTTTGCTTCTACAGATCCCTGGTATCGATGAAGCCATGTCCTTCGCCGAAGTTCTCAAGCAGGTGAAGTCCATGTCCTACGAGACCATCATCTTCGATACCGCACCAACGGGCCACACCCTGCGCTTCCTCTCCTTCCCCTCCGTCCTCGAAAAGGCTCTCGCAAAGGTCTCTCAGCTGTCCTCCCAATATGGTCCTCTCCTGAACGGCTTCCTTGGCCAGGGTGGCCAGCTGCCCAACGGGCAGAACCTTAACGACATGATGGAGAAGCTCGAGACGCTGCGGGAGACCATCTCCGAGGTCAACACTCAGTTCAAGGATGAGGCCCTGACAACGTTCGTGTGCGTCTGTATCCCAGAGTTCCTGTCTCTGTACGAGACGGAGCGCATGATCCAGGAACTGTCCAACTACGGCATCGACACCCACAGCATTGTCGTGAACCAGCTCCTCTTCCCCAAGAAGGGCAGCAACTGCGACCAATGTAACGCCCGCCGCAAGATGCAGAAGAAGTACCTCGAGCAGATCGAGGAGCTGTACGACGAGTTCAACGTGGTCAAGATGCCCCTGCTCGTCGAGGAGGTCCGCGGTAAGGAGAAGCTGGAGAGGTTCAGCGAGATGCTGACTACGCCGTATACCCCTCCTGAGATGGACGCGTAAAAGAGTTGATGATATATGGTGCTGGTTTGGGCTGTGGTGTTGAGGGCGGCGGCGAGTGCAAAAGGGGGGGGTTTAAACATGAACATGGAAAAGGGTTGTCACGAATGGGATTATAGCATAGGGCGTCCAGAGTCACTAGTGAAGACATAGAATACATTCACAAAAACTATTTTGATAACCCCGTGATATGTGCAGGAGATTTATTGATCATCTTGGATGCGTGTTTACATACAGAAAGAGCTCCACGCTGAGCAAACTGTTTTTAGACGCGGCATATTTTTTTCTTCTTGAATAGCCTTATTACCCTGCGGTGTGTCGACATGTCCCCGAGATGCGATCACACAAGTGTCGTACGTCACTGGTCCAACCTGAACCCCTTTCAACGTAAAAGAAACCACCTCCTATCCCATCCCATGAACGCCGTGGACTTCAAAAGAGTCCTGTCCAAGTTTCCCCCCCTTGACATGTGAAGACTTAAGTTATGCCATATTTCCAGAATGTTTGAGCCGTATTGTGGTGCGTGTCGTCTAAAATTACAAGTGAAGAGTTTGGGGGTGACTGAATAATGTAACAATGGTCTTGAGGGCGATACAGATGGCTATGGCTCATCACAGCTCCCTGTAGTCGCTGGGCCGCACACGTCGCTGGCGGTTTTGGTGACGATGGGGGTTGACTGGCCTCCGGAAATAGGCGTCATCCTCGTTGTTTGGTTGGGTAAAGTTATGGCGTTGTTGTTGGTTGAAGCCGCCGGCCATGCCAGCCACGCCACCTCCATTCATTCCACCATTCATGCCGTTCATGCCATTCATGGTGTTCATGCCGTTCATGCCGTTCATGTTGCCACCAAAGTTGCCGCCATACATGTTGTTGCCCATGTCAAAACCGCCCCCATTCATGGGGTTAAATCCGGGCATGCCCATCATGGGGTTCATCATGCCCATCATGGGCATACCCATGTTCATATTATTCATGTTGTTCATGTTGCCGCCCATGTTGCCCATGTTCGGCATGCCCATGAAGCCGTTCATCATGTTCATATTGCCAAATCCCATCATGGGGTTCATGGGCATATTACCCATACCGTTCATGCCGTTCATCATTGCTTGCTGTTGTTCTTGTTGCTTCTGCATCGCCTTTGGGGCCTTGGGGATCTTGGGATTCTCCATTAACTCATCGGCAGGGCGCTTTTTAGAGCTAGATTCCTCAGATCCGGCGCGATCAACAGGCTTTGCTGGAGCGGCTGCGGGTGTTGCTGATGTGGATTTAGGGGTGCCATCTGTCGTTGGAGCAGCAGCAGCGGTTGCTACTGTGGTTGAAGGTGACTTCTGGGGTGTCGGTGACTGAGCGGTCCCGTCAGCTGCTTCCGCCTTTACGTCCTCGGCCTTCTCCTTAGGGGAGGAGGCTCGAGATGGTGAAGCTGCGGTTGCGCTGGGGCTCTTGGCCTCAGTCTTCTCCTTAAGGTACTCTTTGATCTTGTCGGCGGACTCTTCATCAGCTTTAAGGTCGTCGATTAGAACACCCTCGTTAGAGCAGTTAGGGCAGACGAAGTCCGATTCGATGAGAGCATTTGTGATGCAATCATTGCAATACGTCTTCTGGCAGCACGGGGTCTTCATTGGGTCTATGAACATCTTCTTGTCGATGGGGCATTCCAGTCCCTTCTCCTGCAACTCCTTGTCTCCCATAGCAATTGCCTTGGCAGCGGAGGCTGAAGACTTAGCCTTAGCTTGGAACTGTTCCCACGACGCCTGATCAGGTTCAGCGATAACGAACTCTCCCTCTGCGTTGACCATGATGCCCGATGGTCTCTTGGTCTCGTCATCGCCACTTTGAGCCAGAGCGACCGACTTATCGACAGTACGCAAGAATGACCTTGGGATACCAGTAGTACGCTTTACACGGGGACGATTATCAAACTCTGGGTCATCGTTGGTCGGGCACAACTGGATCCAGTGACCCTTCTCCCCGCAACGATAGCAAATATATCCATTAGGAGGGTCATGATCAGGCACATTCGCTGGCTTCTTGGATCCCGGCTTGAAGACAGGGGTTTGACTACGGAAAGAATGATTAGCTTTAGTGACTTAATGTTTGGAGGAACTACGTACTGAGACATTTCCTCTTGTTGAGCAGACCAAGACTCAGTTTGGGCCTGGAACATGGCCGCCATTTTCTCTTCCTCCGTCATGGCGTTGTTCATCTGATTAATGGCATTTGATGCTGCCTTAACGGTGGCCAACTTCGTTGTCTGCTCCTTTCGAGACGAGTTTTTCGCGGCAACGGGCATCTTGCCAGAGACATATCTAGCGCCACGGCCGGCTCCAGGCTTCGCGGCCGGTAGGCGGCGGGCGACAACGGTCGTGGATCGGGGGATAATTGTCGTATCATCATCATATTCTGGTTCTTGTTAGAAATAATTTATCGTATCGGCTAGTAACAACGGCTTACCTTCACTACCGTCTTCTGAGTAAATAGCCAGGTCAAAGTCGGTACCATCACCTAGACCGCTTTTCAAGATAATATCGCGCTTTAGTTCGAACACAGAAATACCAGTGCCATCGAACTCGACTCGCGTCGGCTCTTTTTGAGACTTGAACTTGAAGAAGACGGAGGACGCCATTATGACTCGGGTCGCGTTCTCTGGCTACAGCACCAGTTGATCGGAGCAAAAGTCGGCAGCAGTAATACCTGTGTTCAAGTACTGATTGAATGCGGCGATGTGAACTCGGGGGCGACCACAAAGACGCGAAGCTAGGTGAGTAGAGAGTGATTTGATGCTAGTAATTTTTCTTGTTTTTTTTGTTTGTGATCTCTCTTGCGCTCAGCACCTCTCAAGAGTAATGGAAATCAATTCTGATTTACTTGGAAGAACAAGGAAATAAGGGTTGTGGAGTGTAGAGAAAGAGTACAATGCCAAAGAGGCCGACACCAAATGGAATATAGGCAGCCCTTTGAGTGAATCCCTCCAAGCATCCAAGTCACCTCGACACCATGCGTACCATCAGTTAAAAAGCCTCAGTAAGCCAAAGATCAATTTCCTAGTCAGTATTCAGATCGGTGCGAGATAAGTCGCAAAGCTATGCTTTGTTGCTTGCTGGAAAAAGGAGGCGAATGCCGGGGATTGAAATGATCGCAGAGCGGGCACTTGCGTCGCTCGTCGCTCGTCGCTAGTAATTCCCAACGTGTTTGGTCGAAGGGTTGGCTGGGCGGCTGAAAACGTTTCGCACAGTCGTACGGGAGCGTATATCGCAGCAGGGCGAGAGGTCGCGATTAAATGACGAGAAAGAGGGGAGCGTGGTGCTGATGTTCGTGGCAGGAAAAAGAGGAGTAAAGCAAAGGGGGAGGCGAGGAGATATACCCGGCTTGGGCTGCAGGCAGAGACGGAGAAAGAACTCTGGAACCCACTTGGGTCACTGCCACCGGATTCTGTAGCACAATTCTGGGCAGGTTGCGGATGGCGGGAGAGCTATCGGAATTTCTAAGCAAAGGGGAGTTTTTCCGACGGAACCTGCCACCCGCCTTTGTCAGGAATTTCTGCTTCTATCAAAAAATCGATCTGAGTCATCAAGACCCACAAGAGCAACCAAAGGGACCACCAAGGTGGGAAGGTCACGTGCAGTAGCACGCAAAAGTCCTTCGAGATGTCTTAGCGTCCCCACGTATTAGCAATTGGTGGCTCCTCAGTGCTGATACGCCGTTGCTTGCCGAAACCCCGCCATCCGAGAGCAGTGTGGGCAGGTGTGCATGTGGTGGTACTCTGCTGTGTAGCAGAGTTCTGGTCAGCTCTTTTGCGCCCGATGTAGAAGGTCCAGTCCAGCGTCATGCCCCGCACCTCGTTGTTGAGCGGCATTGTCCGCCCTCAAACTACTCGAAAGTTTCTTCCTACATCTCCCAGACTCTTCCCGTGTTGGCAGACGACTCGGATAGCTAACTCCCATCGTCCCTACCTTACTTCCGCAATACAAGCACACCAAGCTCGCAAAATGGCTCCTCAACTCGACGGATACTTCAAGCAGGTCGATGCCGACGCTGACCACTTCATCGAACGCCTCAGGAAGGCCGTTGCTATCCCCTCGATCTCTGCCGACGTCTCCCGCCGTCCCGATGTCGTCAAGATGGGCGAGTGGCTCGCCGCCGAGCTGAAGGCTCTGGGTGCTTCCGTTGAGCTTCGTCCTCTTGGCGAGCAGCCTGATATTCCTGGCCTCCAGCTGCCTCCTGTCGTGCTTGGTAGATACGGAAACGACAAGAATAAGAGAACCATTTTGGTCTACGGCCATTACGACGTCCAGCCCGCTGAGAAGAGCGACGGCTGGGCCACCGAGCCTTTCGAGCTCTCTGTCGATGACAAGGGCCGTATGTTCGGTCGTGGTGCCACTGACGACAAGGGACCCGTTCTTGGCTGGTTGAACGCCATCGAGGCTCACCAGAAGGCCGGCATTGACTTCCCCGTCAACCTGCTCATGTGCTTTGAGGGTATGGAAGAATACGGCTCTGAGGGTCTTGATGATCTTATCAACGCTGAGGCTAAGAAGTACTTTGCCGATGCGGACGCTGTTTGCATTTCTGACAACTACTGGCTGGGTACCGAGAAGCCCTGCCTGACTTACGGTCTTCGCGGCTGCAACTACTACTCTGTTGAGATCTCCGGCCCTGGCGCTGATCTTCACAGCGGTGTCTTTGGCGGCACTGCCCAGGAGCCCATGACTGACTTGGTTCGCATCCTCGGCTCCCTTGTCGACACCGACGGCAAGATCCAAATCCCCGGCATCAGCGAGCAGGTTGCTCCTGTTACTGCTGAGGAGGAGACTTTGTACGACGGCATTGCCTTCACCATGGAGACCCTCCAGGAGTCCCTTGGCAGCAAGACTACCATCTTCGAGGAGAAGAAGCCCACACTCATGGCGAGATGGCGCTACCCCTCTCTTTCCGTTCACGGCATCGAAGGCGCTTTCTCTGCTCCTGGTGCGAAGACTGTCATTCCTGCCAAGGTTACTGGCAAGTTCTCCATCCGTACCGTGCCCAACATGGAGATTGAGGCCACGAACGAGGCTGTCTACAAGTACGTCAAGGAGCAGTTTGCCAAGCTCAAGAGCAAGAACACGCTCAAGGTTTGGGCTCAGCACACCGGCAAGTGGTGGGTTGCGTCGCCCAAGCACTGGAACTTCAGCGCTGCCGCCAAGGCTACTGAGCGCGTCTGGGGTGTCCAGCCCGACTTTACTCGTGAGGGTGGAAGGTAAGTTTGGACGGCGTCCCCATTTCATAACATCAGCTGACCTTTGATAGTATTCCTGTTACCCTGACCTTCGAGCAGGCCACGGGCAAGAACGTCCTGCTGTTGCCCATGGGCAGCTCCACCGATGGAGCTCACTCCATCAACGAGAAGTTGGACAAGCGCAACTACATTGAGGGCATTAAGCTCTTGGGTGCCTACCTGCACTACGTTGCTGAGGAGCCCACCGCATAAGTGGTGTTGTGATTTCGGGCATGGAGTAAGCCAGTAGTGGCAGTCCGGCGACGCACCTTAGGTCAGGTGCACTTGTACAGCCAATGACGGGTCGAGCTCGGCCTACAAGCCGATTAATCTGATGGCAAACTGCGAACACACATATTGTGTAGCAGTAAACCGCTAAACAGAAGAAGCCCAAGGAGCTAAGTTTAGCTCCGAATCTTCATAGTTCAGATCAGGAGTTACGTAGCAGAAGTAAAATACCCAAATAACTCATATCATTCGTGCTATCATTCGTGCCTAATATCAAATCTAAATGTGGGGGTATTAATCTGTAAGACATGACACCTCGCATCCAGCTGAGGTGGTATAGCACTACGCCATAAAAAGAGCCCTTAAAACATGAGAGAAAGAAAAAGAAAAAGAAAAAAACAGCACAAAACGCTAGTGTCTGGATGGTGAGGCCCATATGGCTCCGGGATATCTCGTGCAATCCGTATGAGTGGGGGGGGGGGGGGGGGGGGGTATATCGGAGCTTCGCTGCGCGCGAAGCTCTACTTCTTCCGGGCGGCCGTGACTCGACGGCCCCGCCTCTTGGCCACAACCTCCGGGTCCCACGTCCCGGAGAACATATCTTCCAAGTCATCCTCGTCCTCTGAATCGAACACAATCTCCACCTCGTCGTCACCTTCGGAACTCTCCCCGGCGCCTTCGTCGCCGTTTCGCTCGCTCACGTCATTATCAAGTCTGTTCCCCTCCATCTCGTCATCCTCATCTTCGCCCACGCTCCCTTGCGACTCGCCGTCGTTGTCGTCGTCATCATCCTCTTCAGAGACATCCTCCCAAGACCGAAACGGCACGACGCGCTCGACCTCGAGGATAAACTTGCCGACCTTGTATTTCTGACTGAGCTCCTTGGCGTCGACGTACTTCCACCCCAGCTTTGCGCTGCAGAGAAGACAGGTGATGTCGGCGACGACGTGCCACCCGGTCACGAGCTGGCGGTTCTCGCACTTTCCGATGCGGACGTTGGCCAGCATCTCGGGCCCCGCGGCGCTGTTCGCGATGGTACCCGGCGAACGCGGCGGGGCGGGGACGGTGGGGGCGACCAGGTATGCGCGGCCGTAGCGTCCCGTGAAGCCCTTGCTCACGATCTGAGAGGAGAAGGCGATGTCGCTGGAGCAGGTCGAGCAGCGGAGGGTATCGGGCTGGGTGCGGGTTAGGCGTTTCGGGCGGCGGGTTTGGCGTTTGCCGGGGGGGAGGTGGTCTGCGACGACGGGGCCGGACGAGACGATTGCGTCTTGGTACGACGGCGGCGGCGGCGGGGGACTGTTTGGAGGTGTTATCGTCTCGTCTGTCGTCGACTGTGTTGGCGAGGAGCTGAGCGAGGGGACTTGGCTTGCGTCTGGTGTCGAGCTCGGCTCCGAGGTTGTCGTCGAGGATGAGGATGGCCTCCTCCGGCGGAAGGGGAAGCTTATGCTCGGCAGGAGGTAAATGGGGAAAGTCGGGCGGGACACGACGATGTTTGGCGCCATGATTCCTTTCACTTTTTTTTCTTTCTTTCTTTTTTTTTTTCTTTTTCTTTTCTTCTTGTCCTTCGGGTTTCCTTTGTGTTGTACCGTTTCCCTTGTGTACCGTTCCCTTTGCACCTCCGGACCCGGTTCCGGACGGGCGCAAGTATACGGACGGCGAGCTGTGGTGTTGCAAACGTCTATGTACGCTGCTGCTGATGTTTGCGGCGCAAAACGAAATATTTCGGATTTCAAACCATGGCCGGTAGTTATTTTTTTTGGCAGTGTGTTTTTCTACATTCAATATTAATATGTAGCTGCTAGTGGTCCGGGACCGAAGGGCATGACTATTTGGGACGATGGAACGGGCTATGGCGTTGGGCTTGTATGTCACGCTCCCGCGCGACCGGAGGGGTCGGAGTAAGGAATAATTGGAGGGTTAGACCGTGAATTTTGGAGAAAAGTCCCCAAGGTAGAAAAAAAAAAAGCCAGGACTGGTGTGAGTGGGCGAAGAGACAGTCCGGCACGAGACGGAGGGTAGGTCGGGCTGACTATCTAGGGTGGATGGATGGAGGGGGTCTCGCATTGGGTCTTGGGAGGGGGGCTCGCGCGCTGCAAATGTGTAAATTCGTCACAGTTTCCTGTAGTAATGGCATATGTCCGTTCCTTGACTTTTATTGCAGGTCGTTGCAACACCCCGCCTTGTTTTGCGGTGAGGGACGGTGTGTATGAGATAGTTCAAGGTCTGGGCGCTACATGTGTTTATTGACCTTTTGAGTCGTGACAACGGGGGGACGCACTTCTGCACTTGGGATCGGCTTTACGATGTGTAGCATCTCAGATGTTGAGAATGACGGGAAGATGCCATAGAAGGCAGTCACAAGCACTGGTTGAGAATTGTAAATCAAGGAGGAATCAGGCTTGGATACTTGTGACTGCTTCTTACAAGCCCGAACTGAGCCATCGACAGACCACCTGCCACGCTAGTACCATTCCCTCGGACCAACAGTCCAGTCTCAGACGACCATGGACCATGCTCGGAGGTGCGGGCGGCAGCGGCTTTGCATGAGCGATCAGCAGTCGTTAGCTTGGGTAAGGTCAGTCCAGGTTCAGGTAGCGTTGAGCGGTTGGGTTATAGATTCCTCCCCCCTTCTACATAGTTACCCCCCACCCACCATCAGAGTTATCGATAAAGCCCATGAGACGATAAGAGATGGGCAGAAGAAGGGTGGAGAAAGCTGCATCCACATACATTCCCACTTCCTTTTGGGGGAATTGGCGTCGGTACTGCGAGACAGCTCGCACTTTGTCATTTCTCGCCCTCTTTCTCAACCCACCACCAGCACCACCTCCTCCAACCTGAAGAGTGTGCCCAGCTGCATGACTGCGTGGAATGTGGGTATGATCACCTCATTCGACCACCCGTCAGATGTGACTCCAACAAACGGGTGTGCGGCAAACTTTGACTGTAGGTCTTCTTCCCCTCTTTTGGAGACCCGAAGGGAAGAGGGGAAAAACCCAAGCGAACCGAAAGTCAGAGAGCGCTTCTAGAAAGAGCGAAACCATGTTTCAGGGTCTTTTGGGCATGGAGTTTCGTTTCCTTTGAGATTTCTCATTATCGGGATTTTGATGATGAAATTGATTCCTTTCTTCCTGGAAACCCAAATGGCAATTCTTTGCGGCAGCATTGAGGATTGACTGGCCTGATGGTTTCCTCCGCTGTACACCGGGCGACGAGATGGGTCATCTGGTCTATCTCGTAGTTCCTAGCTGCTGACTGAACCAGTCCACCCGCCCCGGGCGGATGTCTCCGGGGGGTCGGCGATCGCAAACACTGCTGCAGTTGAACTTATCCGAGCTAGTAATCATCATGAAGCATCACCATTATTCTCGGTCTGAGACCCGTCAGACGAGCCGGATATTCTTAGCTGAGAATGATGGCATTTCAGGGTTATCATTAGCAAACGCCCAGCACTCTCATCCATGCCATGCCTACATAATACGTAGTAGGTGGTAGTAGTAGGGAGTAACGGAGCTGCTCAAGGCCCCGGAGTCGATGACTCGCAATCATTAATGTGGAGAACGGAGCGGCTGGGCGGTCAAGTGACCCCGAATGGAAACACTGACCCCAGAGAAGTAACTGTCTTTCCTCCCCCCTAAGAGGTGGCCTTCTCCACTCTCCAATACGTTCCTGGCACCTGGGCTGGCGGAGGCAGATTCATGGCATGGCATGGCAATCCTTCAAATCTATCAGCAATCAACCACATCTCCATACTCCCGTCACGCGGGTTGTGGGCTCCGATTATGCCGGTGGACATGAAATGGGAATCACAGCATTGACGCCTTGCCTTGCACTAGTTTGCGTTCACTTGCAATAAGACGCCACGTCGCATCCCCGTGGAGTGCTTTAATTGTTTTGGGCTATGTATAATTCTGTACGACGGGACAGCGAATGTCTGTGATAGACGAGCTTGGAGATCACGCAAGCCAGGCGTGGGCATGCAGGGAGAGACAAGTTCCTGAGTCTCGGAAAGTCAAATGTCTGAAGAGGAGGGGGGAAAATGCAGTGCAGATAAGCGTTGACTCTACACACAAACCTAACCCAAACTGTGGCGGTGATCTAAGAGTCCACGGTTATCTGTCATTTGATGCGACGATCTACTTGTCCTTGCGACCAGCGCACGCAATCCATGTGTTTGGGGGGGTCTTATTCGATTACCTCAATTTCTCCAGTCAATGTCATGATCGAGGCAAGGTTACTCATTCATGTGGAATCCATCACTAACAGAGGCGAATACTGTGTCGCCGCTGATGGGCTGGGAGGTACGGTACACCGTCCTCAACGCACTGGCTGACTGAGGTTGGACTTGGCCTGAGGGGATGCACATGGAGATAGAATGAGAAAGTATGTATGTGCTGTGCATGTGAAGTGCAGCTCCCATGTCACTGTAATTGGCAAACCAGTCAAAGTTGCCAAGCGCCGTGCCGGATCCGGATTGGGAGCGTCCAGCCGAATTACGATAGTTGGCGACGCTCGGTTTGACATGGGGGGAGCAGGTCGCCCGACGTTTCTGGTCAATTAGGCAAAATCCAATCATTGAGGCTTCTATGAATTCAGAGAAGTCCGTCGATATGGGCAATTGGGTCAGTCCAGGACCGGAGAAGAGGCGGACCATGTGGAAGTTAACCCATTGGCGGGCTGAAGCATAAAAAAAAGGGCAAGCAACCAAGTAACCAATGCAATGCAGTACAGCGGAAAACGTGCTCGACAGTGCAACATGTACGGCGCGCCGCAGTGGGCTTTACCAGCCGGTTTCGTAAGCCTAGACCCGTTCCACCAGCGGTATCCCTCCCTAGGGGATTTGGGGAGAAAGAAAAGTCTTGGAGCTCCCTGGCTAGACCCATCTTTTGAGGTAACGGGAATTGGTGATTTACTCATACTATGAAATCATAAGAGTTCCCCGTGACTTGGAAACCTAATTCGGTTTGCTCGATAATCATCAATAGAGTCAGAAAATCCAAGGCATTTGCAAACATGTTACGAATTAGATGCCATGCCGTGGAGGTGCATTGCCTTTTGAGTAAAGAGGGGGGATGAGGAACATGGGTCTTTGTGAAGGAAGATAAGGTGGAGATGACATGCAAAGCCCGATTATGACTGTCCGTCCTTGTCCTGTGTGGCCCGGTTGGTCCACTGAGAGAGAGAGGGGGCCGCTTCTTGGTGGTTGCCCCTTGGATGCTGCTGTGTGGTTGCGCTGCGGCTTCTGGGTGGTGGGTGTCTCCTCTCTTTTTCTCCGCCACACTAGACGATTCTACGCTCCGGGCTCCGCTGTGGTTTTAAAGGTACTTAGCGGCCAGTCTCACCCGCTGACCTCTTGCCCTTCTCCTCCCACACCGTTCTTCACCGCTGCAAAAGATAGGTACCGCTTCGCTCCTCCCGCAACAACCGCCGTTCGCAACGAAAAAAAAAAAGAAGTTCGACAAGAAAAAAACAACTACTCCGTCTCAACAACATAAGCAATCGCTGTTTTACAGTCATCACCACTAGCCCATTTCGCACAATCGACTATCCCAGTCTTGCACGAATCGTCGATCCAAGACTCGCCTCACTTTTTTCCCATCAAAACTACCTGACGAACGGTTCCGAATTTCGAGAACCGCACCTACCACCCATTTACCAAAACCATCCGATTCAAGACAAGAAACCCCAGGAAATCTGTAGCAATGGCGCCAATGAGACAGCAGAGTAATTACAGTAGTAGTAATTTTGATGGCGAGGCCGTTGTCCGTCAGGCCAATGTCCTTGCCAGCTGCTACATCGTCGACTCTACCGCGACTCTTCGCGGTCTCCACTACTGCACTACCGGGGCCGCAGGTATGTAGCTTCATTCATGTTTCCATTCCACCATGTCTTCAGCCTCATCTTCACTCCCGCCGATCATCTGTCTCTCCTTCACCCCGACCCCACACACTCACACAAACCCCCAACGCATTTGGCATGCATTAGACGATACGACGGTTTCCGCTAACATCAATTTCAACAGGGGCCGAGTGGTATTCCTGAGGTCCCCTCCTCAGGACTACCATCCCCTCCATCAAGTCCCCCCCTCGCGGCCATAACGGCATCCAACGAGCTCGCGCTGCTTCCAAAGGCCAGTCACAAGCAGCGGCGCGATGTCCCCGGCAAGAGGATCAGCCGTCGAGGGGGGGCAGCACTTTCGATCAGGGAAGAATGTGAGAGATTCTTTTGCGAGTCCATGAGAGCTGTGTTCCGCGGTGAGAGGAACACTGGTTCGAATGACTCCGGCCTGACGGGTGTTTATTTGCAGACTCCGCCGCCCGACGAGGACCTGGCTGTCCAGCCGCACTTCGGTGGTAAGGTGGGGGCCAACGCTCCCGCCCCCGCTACGGCGTGGTTGGAGATCTGGGACTTTGCCGGCGGTGCGAGTTTCCGGGCATTTGTGGCGGATGACGGGGCTGAAAAGTCCCTGTTCGCCTTGTTTGACAGGAACGTCATTGGACGTGACCTGAAGCCTGTGTATGTTGCATATCATCTTCTTGTATATCGACCTTGCAGCTAACGTATACCCAGACTCATGGCTTTGATGGAGTTGGTTGACGGTCCGCTGGACTGCCAACACCTCGTCATTTGCATCGACCGAGGCATTGAGGAGGAAGACGCAAAATCGCTGATGAAGAGCCTGCAATGGGTGGGCTTCGAGCTGACTTTGGACCACTGGGCGCATGATGTGGACGTGACGAGCAACAGGTGGCTGTTTATGGGCATGGAAATCTAGCACTTTTACAGCCACCTCGAATGTTTTTGTCTTTCTCTATTCATGAAGCTAGGCAGTTGGGAGTTTTCGGCTTTTCATTTTTTGTCGTTTTTTTTTTTTGCCCCTCTTCTCAGTTCTCAGGAGGAACAGCACAAGCACAGGCATCACCAGCAGTAATCGGAAACAGAAAAGGGGAAACGCCATAAAAAGCAACGGGGTTGACAAAAATGTATCACTACGGTCTCACGTTTTTGGACACTTTTTTTCTTGTCTTTTCTGTATCTGGGAAAAAGTTGGGGAGCCGGCTGTTTCCTAATTTTCTCTCCGTCGTCTCTTTATTTTTGCGCATCTCGACTTGGCTTTGGAGTTTGTTCATCGCCGGTAGGGGGAGGAGTCACTTCTTTCGAGGTTCATCTCTTGACTTTGCTTTCGGGATATTTGTGCTGCAACTTTTTTTTGATTTTGGAGGGAGTAACAGCACGTTTTGACATCCGATGGAATGAGATCATGACACACGCAAAGTCTTGTCTGGTTGTTTATAATCGGCGCTCGCGTCAGATTGTTCACTCATGGTAAAAGCTTCCAAGCTTTTCTTTTTCCGTAACGTAGCTTTAGCACCACAATATTCAACCAAAGGACAATACTTTTTTTATTATAAGTCTTCTTCTTCTCTTCCCAGTGCCAGAAATTGTCTAAATGCGTATGTTTTGTGACGACCAAATCATCTTATATCTTCATCCTACGTCTCTTGATATACATCCCCGACATTTTTTTTTTTTTTTTTTTTTGAAAAAAAGAATCCTGGCTATATGTCCTCCTCAAACTGCCTCACTTTAAGCCCCTTGGACGCCAGGAAATCCTTGACCTGCTTCACCGTGTACTCGCCGCGGTGGAACATGCCGGCGCCCAGCGCGGCGTCCGTCGTCGTCTTCTCAAACACCTCCTCAAAGTGCATAGGGTGACCGGCGCCGCTGGACGCGATGACGGGGATCTTGACGGCGGCCTTGACCTGGGAGATGAGCTCGAGGTCGAAGCCGCTGTTGGTGCCGTCGCGGTCGATGCAGTTGAGCAGGATCTCGCCGGTTCCCATGGCCTCGACGGCCTGCGCGAGCTCGACGACGTCCATGTCGCGCGTCTCGCGGCCGCCCTTGATCGTGCAGGCGTACCAGCAGTACTCCTCGCCCTTGGGGCCCGGCGTCGACGTCTTGATGATGTTGTGCCGCGTCGCGTCCGGCTTGGGCACGTACACCCTCTTGGGGTCCACCGACACCACGACGGCCTGGTTGCCGTACGCCTTGGAGATCTGCTCGATGGCCGTGTTGCCGAACAGCTTGCGCCCCGCGCCGTAGTACTCCTCCGCCGCGAGCACGGCGTCGGAACCGATGGAGACCTTGTCGGCGCCCGACTTGAAGTACATGGTGGCGATCTCCAGCGCCGACACCTTGGTGCCGTCCGTGTCGACCGTGTCGCGGATGCCGCCGCCGATGGTCAGCGGCACGAAGACGGTCTCGGACGTGCGGCGGAGGATCTCGAGCATGGGGACGTCGGCGAGCGGGCAGTCGCGGAAGGACGTGATGTTGAGGAAGGTGACCTCGTCGGCGCCCTGCTCGTAGTACTTCCTCGCCATCTCGACGGGCTTGCCGAGGTTGCGGACGTTGCCGCCTTCCGTCTTCTCGCGCACGTCGTACTGGTCGCCCTTTGTCACGACGAGGTCGCCCTGGTCGTTTGTGCGCACGTCGAGGCAGGCGATGACGCGCCGCGTGAGGCCGTCCTGGAACGGCACCGCCTCGGCGCTCGGGGTGATGATGGAGTTGCCGCCGGCCAGCGAGGCCGCGCCGGAGCCGTCGAGGAAGGCGCGGAGGCAGCGCAGACCTGCGGCGCCCGACTTTTCGGGGTGGAACTGCGTGGCAAAGATGTTGCCGCGCGCGATGGCGCCGACAAAGGTCTCGGTGCCGTAGGTGCCCGTCGCCACGGTCCATCCCTGGGCCTCGAGCTCGCCGCGGACGTAGGGGAACTTGTATGTGTGGACGTAGTAATATTTAGAGTCCGGACGGAGGTCGTAGAGGTTCGCGCCGCCCGTGTTGGCGCTGTTCCAGCCGATATGGGGGACCGACTTCGTCGAGGCGTCGAAGCTGTTGAGGCGGCCCTTTACGACGCCGAGACCGGGGACGTCAGGGTCTTCCAGGGAGCCCTCGAAGAGAGCCTGGATACCTACGCAGATACCCATGAACGGCTTGCCCGCGGCGATGTGGGCGGAGATGGCGGGGAGGAAGCCAGCTTGAGCGAGCTGGGAGAGGCAGTGACCAAAGTGGCCGACGCCGGGGAGGATCAGTTTCTGTGAGGGCGGCGGTTAGACTTTTCTTTTTGTGGTACGAGGCTTTGGGAATAGTTGCTCTGAGCCGTACCTCTGCTGAGGGAACATCTTCCGGTTTCCTAATCCATTCGACCTCGTAGCCGACCTTTTCGATGGCGTTGACCAGACTGCGAACGTTGCCGGCGACGTAGTCCAGCAGGTGGACTTTTGGCATGGTGGGCGACTGTTGGTGCGATGTAAGACTGTGGTATAATATGACACTTGCGAGTGAGTGTAGAACAACGTTTGGGAATGAATGAAATGCGCCGTCACAAAAGTCGTCACACGTCAGGAAAGTTCAATTATGAGTCAAAGATAGGTTGGTCCCGTCGCCGGTCACTCGGAGGGCGTCTAAGGGAAATTTACTTGCGATAGCGGGGCAGAGGGGTTGTGAGTCGGCGCGGCCTGCCCCGCAGTGAGGGGCCCTGGTCGATTATGTCGGTGCACTGAGGTAATCTGCCGCACTGGGGCAGCGAGAGCTGCTGCTGCTGCTGCTGGCTGGCTGGAATGGGAAATCTGCTTCATGCTCTGCTTTTCGAGCTCCCTCCAAAATTTTCTTCAACACCGCAACACCGCGTCTGGAAATTCTACCCCCGTAGCAACGCGACCAATGCTCTGAGTAGGTCTTTTAATGTCGGCCACTGCGCCTATTTTCCTTTTTTAGCCTTGGGCATCGACCTGATAGCACCACTTTTACCCTCCGACCAGAATCTTTTTATAAAGATTCATACGGTAACATGGCAACCAACAATGCGCCAACCTCCTCCGTTGCGCCGGTGATGGCGGCAACGGCACCTGCGGATAAGCTCCCGCGAGCGCCTAGCCAGGTCGACGATGGCGATGACTCGGAGTGGGAGTACGAATACTCGACCACTGAGACTGAGGTGGGAAACCCAGCGATTGCCTGAACCGACAGATTCCTAACGCGCCGCATCGCATCAGACATACTACTTGACCGTCGATCTCTCTATTCCGCAGCTCCTCCGTCGAAGACGTAACGCGCCGGTGTCAGGACGAGGCGGATATCACTATAAGCATTGGGCCGGCCCTCACAAGAAACCCGACGAACCCAAGCACCACCGCATCTTATCGGACGACGAGAACGACGATGAACCCGCGCCCGAACCCGAGGACGAAGGAGATCTGGACCAGAATCAAATGGACCCCAACGGAGAGAAGAATGCGGATAACGCCGACGCCGAGAGCGAGTCGGATCCGGCTGCAGACATACAAATTCTAGACTTGCACTCCGACAAGCCCATGTTTGCGTACAAGGGGAAGGTTTTTGAAGGGCAATGGGCACGGAATCTTGGAACAGAAGTCATCTTCGCTGAGCACAACGATGAAGATCTCTTGCCGACGCTGCGGCATCTACCTGGCGGTGTAGACATGCTGGCGGCCAGCTGGTCGCGAATCAACACTACAGAAAAGAGGCTACAACCGAAACACGAGACGGCCGCCAAGGACGACCCCCTAGGTGAAATTCGGAAGCAGTTTGGTATTCACATTCCCATCACGGCGGACAAGACGGGCGAGCGTAAGCGGCAGACACGATTTTTGGAGAACTTAATGGCAATCAAAAAGAAGAGGGGCGAGACGGACGAAGTAACAGTGTATGCGCATGCGGCGCCGCGGCATATCAATGAGGGCACGTCTGGGCGTAGGAAAAAGCGGAAGCCGTTGCCCGAGGGACCACCAAGGAAGCGCCGGGGCCGTGGCGGCGCAGCATCCGGCGGACGCGGAGGCCCTTCAGCGATGGAGATTGGTTTTGACAAGAAGAGCATCGGTGCCGCTGCGCAAAGTGACGCGGCTGGCGGTGCTGGTCCTGGTGGTGCGGAGGATGGGGCACTGTCAACGCCTACGCCAGCTGCATGGACGGATCTGCAGGGGCAGGCTGACGGAGCCGCGAATCAGGATGCAGGCGCAAATGAGTATGAGGATGGTAGCGATAAGGACTCGGAGGATTACGAAGAGGCTGAGGAGTGAAGCTGTCTAACGAACCTTTGACGACAACGAGGCTGGACTGCTCTACTCGTAAAAGAAAGAGAGTTTGGTGGTGCATTACGCACCGCAACTTTACCTCTCAATTCGAGTCTAGCTATGGTTTGATGCCCATCTGTTGGGTTTAGATCAAGAGCAAGAGGTTTCTTGGTAGGGATGTTGCAGCTTTGCGGGCAGCACGGTGAAACGGGGCAACATCAGTCGTTGCGGCTCGAGTTCATCCGGCGGCGGGCATATCCTGGGCAGGGCACATGATGCGTTGCGGGAGAGACATGCGTGGCTGCATGATGTGGTCAGGCTGGAAGAAAGTCAATCAGGGAACAGCCGTCTCGCGGGCACCGGACACCTCGAGGACGCGGAAACCCCAAACGATTATGCTTGAACGGCGAAAGCTATGTTGGCTCAAATTCCTGCACCGTGGGATGCTCCTGTTTGCACATCTACCAGTGCGTGGTGGAAAGCTATTGGAGTGAGGGGACGGGGATTGGATGGCGGTGTAGTAGTATTCCCCCCCTTCCTGTATACCCCCTAGTAGAGTGGATGAGGGCAAGGGACTAAAAGGCCTCACAATGCGAATTCCGTTACAGGAACAAGATAAGTCCGAAAGACCGCCTTGAAAAAAAAATACATAGAACATACAGGCTATTTAGCCCTGCTTTTGGAAAAAAGACACTCATCCCAGCTTGGCACTCAGAGACAGCGTAGTCCACCGGCCCACCAATGGCCAGCTCACATGCAATCTCCCTTTTTGAATAGTGCCGCTCGTGATGCGATGTCCCACCGAGTAGGCAGGTCGGTGTGTCTGCCCCTTGCGGCAAACATGGTCCAGCCAACTGAGCACATTCTCCAAAGAGTCGGTGGAGAATAAGAAGAAGAAGAAGAAAGGACACCAAATAAAAAAAGTCCGCAGGTGGCAGCGTCGCAGTGACTCCGCCAAGGACGCAGAGAACGAACTGGGCCAGAGTGGGCAGTACTCAATCGCCTCCCCTCGTGGGAAATCTGCAGGGATCTGACTGGCCCCGCCGATCTGAACCCTTTCCCCCCCCCCCCCCCCCCCTTTGCCAGGTTTCGTTGATTCCCATTTCCTCCTCGGCATGCGGTGGCGGAGGTATCTGTACATCGGCGACTTTTTTTATTTTACTCTTTGCGAGGCTTGCGAAAAGGGATGAACGGACGTCCTCGTTGGAGAATATCACTCACACCTAAAGTCCCTTTTCTGCCGACTACCGTCTTGGAGGTCATTGACTACTTAGTGTTGATGGACGGCGCCAACCACGGATGGTGCGAAATCCCGTCTACCACGTAAGAGGGTGCGTATGATCATTGCTGGGCTAAGGGACTGGGTGTGACGCAATGACGCAGCATTTCTGCCTTTAACTAGTGATCTTGATCGGTTCTACTCGGGTTTGCGGGGCTGCATTCGTGTCTAGTTCAAGCTCGGGCATAAACAAACTCGTCGGGATACGGTTGTGACAGGAGTTTGGTTACTGAACCGCATCCCGCGGCCGGCTCAGGAGTTTATAGAACGGTTGCGACGGCCCCGACGGGGCCCACCAGAACTACCGGAGCTGCCGGGTTTGTCATAGATTGTCGAAACTCTTACTCAGGCGTCTTGAGAAGGCAGAGAATGAGAAGAAGTACATGGCCAGCAATACTTTGAATGGGAATTGTCCGGAGTGCTCGTATGCCGAGGTGAGTAAGTCGTTGTTGTTACTGATGACCTCTTGACCACCCTTAATACCACATGATGGTTCTCTACCAGCAAAGATCACTCCTAGATCTTCCATTTGTCTGGGCCTTTTCAATTGTGCATGATTTATATCATCGGGAGCCTATCTTCAGGTAAAGCAGTACACCACAACCGCCGCTAGTCATGAATTTGTTTGAAGATATCACTTCAGTCCAGTAAAGATCAGAGATGATGTACCGGTACTTGATTCCCCGCCAGAGTTCCTTAGCTAAGCGGCTGAATCCTCAGAAAGACCTGCTTCAGGTTTAGCGTGCAAACTGACTTATAGTGGGTGGCGGCTGCATTGCCCGAGCCAGACCGGGATGTCGCCCACCCTCAGCTCCAGTTGCAGCGTCCCTGGTGCCTGCTGCCGCTGTTGGTACCGCTGCCGTTGCCGCCCTGCCGTTGTCGCTGTTCGTTGTCGCTTTCCTTTGACATGCCCGCTGTCACCGCACCGTCAGCGCCCGCATGCGCATCCCTCCCACCCCATTTCGTCCAAAACCCAACCCGAAGCTTGCTGCTCCATCCTCTCACAAAGTTTCCTTTAAACAACAACACAAAACACCGTCCACGGGGCCTCAGCGTCCACCGGCCATGCGTCCCCGCTCGTTCCCCCTCCTTTCCAGCTCCTCTTGACAACTTCACTACAACTTATCAACATCTAACGCCCCAAGTTGTGATGCTGTGCGAGATCCCGCGGGCCATTGAAAGACGTGCCGGTATCCCGAGACCCCTCCAGAACATCACTCAGCCTCCGTAACCAAGCGCTGGTATTTAAAGAACTCGGCAAAACAACCACCAGGCAAAGTCGCCGCGGCCAGTCCGTTCCCCGACTCTCTCACTCTCCTTTAACAGCATCCTCCCAACCTGAGGAACAGGCCTGGAGCCGACCCTACGACCTTCCCGATGTACTACCTACGCCGCATTACCATCTTTCTCGCCTTCCTGCTATCCATCTCGTTCCTGGCATGGTTCCTACCCCGCTACCTTAATCCCAACCCGCCTGATCCGGCCAAGCAGCGTGAGGACAAGAGATGGATCAGTAGCAGCCCGTACTGGCTCGATCGCCAGGCATGCCGATGGTTGAGCCTTTGCGGTGTACACCATTTGTCGTGGGATCCTGCGGCTTTGTTCCCCTTCAAGAACAATACCGATGCTGGCGATTTGCGCCTTGAGCTCCGGTCCCTGTACAACGACGAGGGACGCCATCATGGTTGGGAATCGGTCTCCAGAGGTCGGAAACCGGAGGTCAAATCGGATCCAAAGACGCTCAAGGAAATCCCCGACTACGTTCTAAAGTATGCGCCGCTTGTTCACCTGTACTCTGGCGAGAACTTTTGGCCTGCCGACATCGCGGAACACATCAAGCACATGACACCCTACCTAAAGAAGGAAGCCTTGAATCGGTCGATTCTCCTTTCGGACTTGAACGAGCTCAACAAGGAGGATGGCATGGTTTACTTGACGAGCAACGACGACGTGGAGAAGAGACCGGAGTGGTTACACAGCCACGTTGGCATACCTGAGCCCTGGAACGACGACGCAGACGACGGTGAGAAGGACGGTGAGGATGACGGCAGGGGTGACCAGTCCACCGACGACCCCGACCACATGCGAAATCCCACAGAAGGCACGACATGGTTCGATGTCTCGCGCGACCACCCAGTTTCCCGCATTTCGGACCCTCGTCGCCTAGCCCCACAGTTTGCACCCTCAGCTGCTCGCTCCGGCGGCTTTCACCTCCGCCGCCGAGATCAAAAGCCGATTCCCGATACGCCTACCCACAAGCCTAATCAGGAAGGCTACTCCAAGGCCCCCGCTGTCCTCGTTCTCGTCGACAAGGGTTCGGGTATTGTCGACGCTTTCTGGTTCTTCTTTTACTCGTACAACCTGGGACAGACAGTTTTGACCATTCGTTTTGGTAACCATGTCGGCGATTGGGAGCACTGCATGATGCGCTTCGAAGATGGCGTTCCTCGTGGCGTCTTCTTCTCCGAACACGAAGGTGGTCAGGCCTACACGTACCATGCCGTTGAGAAACGAGGTGACCGCCCGGTTATCTACTCGGCTGTTGGATCTCATGCCATGTATGCGCAGGCTGGCGAGCATCCTTACGTCTTGCCTTTTAAGATGCTCAAGGACGTTACCGACAAGGGCCCTCTCTGGGACCCCGCCAAGAATGCTTACTCGTACTGGTATGACTACGTCCAGGACTTGGACGAAGATTTAGACGATGATCTCGATGACGAGGTCGATGTCGCCAGCGGACATCAAAAGGACAACAATACCAGTCTCGTGCCTACCGCAGAGAATCCCGACGCGCCAACCTCCTGGTTCCACTATGCTGGCCCTTGGGGTGACAAGCTCTACAGCCTCGCCGATATGCGACAGTGGCGTCTCTTTGCCCAGTATCATTACGTTTCGGGTCCTCTGGGCCCCAAGTTCAAGCGTCTTGACCGCGAAAAGCTTTGCATTACCAACCGGTGCCGTATCCTCAACAGCCTGAAGCCAGGACAGACTTGGTACGGATAGACACCAAGCTTTCATTTTTCTTAAGGGTATCGGTGTTCAAGGGAGAGACTATAGAGATCCTCACTGGGATACGTACGCTCGTTACGTCGACTGGCCTCTCAAGAGGTTCACAAGCAGACACACTGTGATTTCATGTAGATAAAGTTCTTTGCCACAGTCGCCGTATCTTGACGTGCCGGGATTAGGCGTTTTGCGGTACTTGGTGTTTTTTTGGAATTAGCCTGGGCTTGATACCCAATGACGAGCACTCAATAGATTATATCTTAAAAAGCTGGCGGTCTTTTGCTTTGATCGCATTTAGCCAGACGTTTGGCTGTGAGCTTGAACTAACTATGTTTTATCGTCTGCTCTAACGATCCTCATACTTTCTCACACCGACTTTTGGAGCGTCCTGGTTTGCCGTATTCGACAATTTTGGGATGCTTTCACCTAGCAGCTGTACCACCAAGGCCGCCAACAAAGACTTGACGAAAGCTAGCAGCTCATCCTTGAGCTTCTCGAACAAGACGGACAGAGCGACGCATTGTCGCACTTGTTACGAGCGCAAATCCTCACCATCGTAAAAAGCTGCGCTGGCTGCGCTGGCTGCGCTGGTATCGTAGCGAGTATCACGCAGCCTTGGGGTGTTGTTGTTGTAAGGGAAACCCAGAGCTTTCATGTGGGACCTCGACGGCAAGGGAGGTCGAGGGCCCTTGGACGAGAGCTGGAGGTTTACCGGGGGGCTTGCTGAGCCTCACGGTCGACGGTCACTTTTGTGGATGTCACCTAGAAACAAAACTACTCTGGTTGCATTACGGCATCGCAGTGCTGGCTGATTCCTGCGTTCGTCAAGGCTCATAGTCAGGAGTATCGAAGGTACCGAGGTCATCTTGCGACAGACGTAGGCCGTCCCGGATTTCAAGCGCAATACCGAGAGGATATAGAGGGGCCCAGAGAGCTACGGATCTTACAACCGCCTTAGAGGGTCGAATTGCTTGATTATTATCTCGATGGACCAAGTCCTTCGCAGGGACGTTTTCGGAGAGATAATATGGGAATCAGCGGAGGACGAAGAGAGCAAGGTCGCCAATGTCCCGCTGCCAAAGAAATAACACCCCCAACTATACAGTAGGCCCTTGGCTCGCGAAGAGTACTAGCTAGGCATGAGGAACAGCAATCACCTCCAACTAGGGAGACCAGAGCCCAGAGACAAAATCTGCGTGATGTCGGAAACGGCAACAGGGCGAGCATTGATACTCAAGTGCGGCCGGCCACTGGATGTGCAAAGGATGTACCCGGGCGAAATACAAGCACGCGCTTCGTGACTACTTTCAGAGGCCTCAGGGTTGCGGTGCGTTTCGGCTTAGCTTTGAGGAAGACCTGCCTGACAGACGTTACCAACCAGTTCAGCGAACTCTGGGTGCTGGAAAGTCTCCTGCTCTTTACAGACATGCAATGCACTCCTTTACTGCCTCTCCCCAGGCACGTGGATAGACAAATGAAAAGCTGCCGGAATTGCGACGAGAATCTGCTTGTGGAGGGGTAGAAGTGGCATTCCCAACCAAGTGCAGACTGTGGGAGGCCAAGTCTAAATTTCGGTCCGTCCTCGCCTGAAGACATTTTTTTCCAGGCCGGCTTGAATCATTTCTGAGGACATTAGAACACCGGGAATTGCCGTGGCACATGTAATATCACTCCAACTTGAATTCATTCTAGAGCAGCTCGGGGGTCATCAGCTTCGTTTTGGGCTCTGGGTGAACAATGACAAACGGGCGGACGTAGGAGCATCACTAATCAACGCGAGCCCCGGCTTTACTCGGCATTAGCTCAACAGACTAGAGGACGGTTTGAACGATTTGACGGCTGCTTATTGTTCCGCCGCATAGTGGGAACATAAGTGCTGGGGATATCGTCTTTCCGAAGAGTTCACCAAACCCGTCTCGGACTTGGACTGCCAGCACTTACAAAAGGAGACGGGCACTAGGGGGCCGCTAGCGAGTGTATTTGATATTCGAGATCTGGGCGCAACCGCTGGCGGCGTGGCTCAGTAATCGGCTAAGGAGCTTAATCGTTCAGACATCAAATTGCGTTCTGGCCGGGAACGGGAACAGCATTCTTGAAAGTGTCTGGTGATTTGGAGTGGGATTGTTGAGAGCACGCTAATAGTAGGCACGGACAGGTGCTGAAGAATGATCTGCGAGTGACTTTCGGTGGTGTGATTCGCGGAACCGCTGGGACTGGAGAGTAGAGTTTTTTGGATCAACCCTCAGTCTAAGCAGCTCTCGGTGGCATGTTTTGTTCTTTATTCCAGGTTTTTTTTTTTTTTTTCTTTCCTCTCCCCATCGTGGCCGGCATGGAGATGCCGAGTAATCAGGAGGGGCGGGAGTGGATGAACCGTGGTCGGGGTCGCCGCAACGGCGTCATGGGGAACAGTGAGCAAAAGGGCGGGCGGGGGAGGTCGGCAGATGTATTCTCTAGATTGGGTATAGTGGCGGCAGGGCACTGGGAGAGTAGCATTTGTGATCATTCTCGGTGAATGTTCCCCCGCCTCTGCCCAAAGCAGTCCCTCGGTTCAGTTGGGAAAGAACAATGATGGAAAGATTCACGGAGGCCGCGTAACGCGGCCACTGTGGCTGGTCTGGGCCTGCATCATTGGCGAGGACCCAATGGGACTGACATCCTAATCGGGGCATATCCACTATGCTGTGGCGTAGAGCACTGCGGACCAATGAGAGATGAGGCGCAGCTCCCCAGTTGCGTCAGGCACTTCAGGGTCCTACGGTGAGTCCCGCAATTCCTGGAAGAGGTATAGAGAGGTTGCTCTGGCACCGATTATACTAGTACTACTTTGTACGCTCCTGGATGAGGCAGGGGAGCAGGGGCAGGGGGTGGCAGAGAGGCTCATACTACAGAGGCTCCAGGAACCATGTCCAGCTGCGTGAGGCAGGCGCAGAGGCTTTTAGTGTGGGACTTAGGAGGGCCCGAGGGCAATGAAGACAAGCTCGGTCCCTTCGGGTCGCAGACATTCCTCATCTCCCTCAATTTACGACGGGCACCAGCTACCGCAATAGGGTTGGCGTTGATAGGTCTTCTTCCCATATGAAAGACCGGTCTCACGCTAATCCAAATCGGGGCTATAATCGGTAGTGGCGTGGTAACGAAGGGAGGAGCAAAAGAAGCATAGATGGATTTAGAAATAGAGATAGGTACCCTGGCGATGCTACCTTGTACATTTAGGATACGCCGACCCTAAATGGCTCTAAAGGGGGGCAGCAATCAACGTGGACATTTGGGGTGAAGGGACTGGACGAGCGGCGATGGGATCCTGTCAGACCAAAAGAGAGAGAGAAAAAAGCCTGTCTGCGGTCATCTTTGACCAAAAGAGTGCCTTGGGTAAATTCCGTTAGACATTCGTGTCGAGGTCTGCTGCGACACACATTGCCACACCAAGCCAGTAAGGCAATGGGCGGCGAGACAATGCCAGCGCCGACTTGCAGCGATGTAGGCCACACAGTCTACAGGTTTGATGGACACCGCCAGATCACCTGGAGCACTGGATGGTTCAAGGAAAACAGCAAGAAGCGGTTTTGCTTGCAGTAGATGAACGAGGTCTGGGGTTGTTTGTCTTGCGTACGCGCCTGGAGGGGTGGTGAATCGTTACTCTCTTTGGGCAGGTTTCTGGAGGGCATGAGTAGTGAGTCCCCCCCGACGTCAGCAGCGGCATATCGTTGAGCCAGTAAGGGGAGAGGCTTGTTTGCTACTGATGTGAGGGGGGAAAAGGAAGAAAGCAACTGTAAGGTAGCAGTGGTCCAGTGACACGGACACTTACCGACCACTTGCGTTATTACGATCTGAGGCTTAAACCGTAGTCTACTTTGTGACGAGTAAGGCAGAGAGAGGGTATGTTGGTCTTGCAGTTCAGGTTTACACAAAAAAGGTACCGCCTGCTACTACGTATTTGCCCCCGAGGAGAAAGTACCTGCCAGCCATGGACGGACATGACCGACCAGCCGGGTTGGTCTGCGGGCCCCCTCCCAGAAATACCACTACTACCTGGTGATCAACACAGGTATGCTTAGCTTGACACGTCTTTATTCTTTCAGTGTCTCTCGGTGTCTTCTCATGTGTGTTCTCATGATATAAACGAACCCTGTTGCCGCCTTCCCGTGGGTTCGGTTTTCCTTGTTCACCTAATGTCATCACTCGCCTCCACTCTCAGCATATCACATACAACGTCAACTGTCAATCACAACCCACTTCACTTACGACGACTACGGAACACGAACGAGTAATATTAACGACCCGACATCCCCGACCCAAAACCTAACGGGATTCTGTCCCACGATTCCTTCCCACTTTCTCTCCCTCCCGAAGCGTCCTACAAAACTTATCCGCCTTCACACGAAGTAGCGATTGCCTCACCGACCCCCGCAAATCCGTTTCAGCTTCGACCTCTGCAGGCATTTTGCTTCTCTTTTGCTTGCCTTCTTGTCTTTCGGGAAGCTGGGTTCTCTCCCACTAAACAACCCATATTCCCTACCGCGCGCTTGTTCAGTGGAGAAAACGCCGAGCCCATCTCCCTCGATTCTTTCGTCATTCCTGTTCTATCATTCGTCGCAGAATCCCGTTCGACAGCGATAGGACCTTGAGTCCACGGATACCTCTCGGTGTAAATCACACACATACACACACACTCAACGCCCAGCATTGCGCTCCGCTCCGCGGGTCTTACCGCCTTCCAAGTCCAGCAGGACCAAGTTTTGAGGTACCACCCTCTGACGCCCAGCTCCGGAATACCGGCACCGAATCGCACCAATGGCCTCGGCCGGACAAGGTAAGCCATGCCATTTCCCGTCATCCACTCTCTTTTCCCATGTCTCTTTTCCTGCCCTATTGTTTTTTTCTTTTTTTTCTTTTCCAAAGCTCTGTTCGCTGTCAAGTCACTTCACACACTCCCGATCCGTGGGAACTGGACCCTTGTCCTCCACTCATTACTACTCGGCTCAGCAAAGAGGAAACGCCTTGCGGTCACGCGGCCAGGTTATCCGTGCCTTCTAGAAGAAAAGAGGCTCCTCTATTACCCACCCCCAGTCATGTTATTTTGCCTTTTTTCGTCTTTTTGTTGGGCGGTTGGGAAAGTTCCTACGTAGTATGGGCACAGTCGTCCACTTTATCCAATGACGGCGACTCGATCAAAGTTCGGAACATGACACAGCCAAACGTCAGTCGTCATGACTTCCAACCGTACGTGCAATGCTGCATTGCAATGACCGAGTGCCTCATGCAGATCTGTCCATCCCCAGACCCAGAGGCTCAGGCCTCGTTGTTTTCCACTCTGGGCGAGCTTAGTTTGCTCTTGATCTCTGTTCCTGTGCTCCGGCTTAGGTTTGCTTCTGCTGCATTCCTGTAGGTTTATTGGGCACTCTAATCCCCCGCCTCCACTGCACAATCCCTCCCCCAGTCGTCACTCGTTGGCACTGCTGCAACTGCGGTAGCTGCTGCGGCCAGTCGTTTACGTTCATACCATTCGCAAGCGGAAGGCCGAGCTTTAAACGAGGAGCTGCCATGAAGCGAGAGCGACAAGCAAGACTCACACACACCACCCGCACAAGATGCGGGACGTTACGTGGTGTCAGATGCAGCCATAGCGAGAGAAGCATAGGCCAGTGGCCACCGCAATGCACCTCATCCTGCACCCCCTCTAAATACCCAGCGTCTCCCCCCGCCCAGTTCGGCGGTTGTTGGGGCTTCAGAAGAGGGGTTCACTGCTCGTAGTCTCGCTTTCCTATTTGCCTACCGCTGCTGCTGCTCTCGTCTCGTTCCTTGGGCCTGCCAGGTCTCATTAACTGGTCTCGCCTCTTTCGGGAGGGGATTCGTAATTGCCCAAGACGCTAAAGGATCGAACGGCAACCTCATAAACCGACGAGAAAGAAACCCGTCGGCGTCTCGCCTGAGCCCGGCCCAGTCTGGCCTTTATTTCCGTCTTTTGTTTTCTTTCCTATTATCCTGAGGATTCCAGTTACGTTCCTGAAACGAATACTGTCGCCTTATCTCTTTTTTTATTGAACAGACAGCAGTCTCTCGCACATTCCCCAGTCTTCTTATAACCTATTTCCCCTTTGTGCTATTATTCCATTGAATAACAGCCGCAAGGCCCTCACTGCAACCACCCTTTATTCCAAACCCTGTTCCACACTATTTATCGTCGATCGGCTGCTCCCCACAGAAAACTAAGATCGCATCACCACAGAGCCTCACACAATGACCAACTCACCACGGAGCCCGTCAACCAAGAGCACGAAGAGCCACAACAGCTTTCGTGATACCGGCTTTCCCGAACCTTTTAACGGAGGTAAGAATACTACATCTCGCTTACTAGTCAAGGATGAGAAAACTGACATGGGCAGAACGCAACACCACATTACCACATCCCGACGCCAACTTGTCACCAAACGCCGTCATCTCACAGGATGATATCAACTCTAGCAGGGTGATTGCCCGGACACGGCGTTCGTTCTTGCAAAAGTACAAGCGGACCATTAGCCATGGTGTTATTACTCCACAAATGGCTGCCATGTACGGCGACCTCGGCAGCGACGCCGACTCGACCGCTATTCTAGAGCACGACATCCATTCCAACGCCAGCCAAGCCAGCCTGCCCGCAGGCCGCTTCAGCAAGGACGGTTCCGACAGCATTCTCTCGAACAGCGGTGGAGATCTTTCACCCGTCACCTCTGAGCAAGGACGCAGGGCCAGTTTGCTGAAGAAGCTCGGCTGGCGGAAGTAGGATGCCACAGTCGAGATGCCAAACTTTTCAAACAACCATAGTCTGAAGAGTGACGACACCGCAAAGCGGGCAGAAGTCACGACGACGAACCGCAAATGATTAAACGGCCGAAGATTGTAAAAAAAAAACAGAATTACAGCGCAAGCGTGGAGTTGTTCATGGATTTTCTGGGATTGGGGGTTACCGGCAGGTTAGGTTTTCTGGGATTACGGTATCAGGAGTATAAATTGGAGGGCGGGCGGCTTTAACAGATCCACGAGGAGATATTTTTCTGTTTCCTCGTTGCTGTTTTTTTCTTTGTCATTATCGAAGCCCGCCCTGCTGGCAGGTTGCTGGCGGGGACAAACACACACCCCTCGCAAGGGATTCGCACCAACCTCATGGGATGAGATGATGGAAGACGACTATCGTTAATCAGCAGATTATAGTAATTCTATCGTTAAGATGCAAGGTTCTTGCTATCTGGATATCACGTTTTTATGTTTTGTCTGCCACATGCCTAGTGCCTAGTGATACCGGCAAACTTTGTGTTGTGTCGTTTGCCCTCATGCATCCTCACCTCCAGTCGCCGTCCATAACTCGCTCTCAATACGCCTTTTCAACCGGAACCAATACGGCGTTTGAAATACAAACGATTCTGACTAATTCCCAAACACACGTCAACTTCAACGACCATCAAACCCCCCCGCCTTATCTCTCAACCGGTTCCACAGGCGACGCTCAGCTGCCACGGTAGGTGGTGTAGCTGTAAGGACTCAGCAGCAGCGGGACGTGATAATGCTGGCCCTCCTGGACGGTGAAGACGACGACGGCCTCGGGGAAGAAGGTCTTGTCGTCGCCGCCAAAGTACGCGGCCGTGTCGAAGCGCAGCGTCCAGCGCGAGGGGCCCCTGATCTCGCCCAGGACGTCCTCGAGCGTGTACACGGGGACCTCGCCGGCGGTGTCCTCGGACGAGTAGGGGAGCCAGGCCTTGACGCGGCCGTCGTCGTCCGTCTGCGACTCGAACGTCTTCTGGATCGCCGGCTGGCCCGGCGGCGACGGCGCCGAGGACGTCGTCGTCGAGAGCTGGACGCGCACGCCGCGCGCCGGTTTACCCTGCGCCGTGTCCAGGACGTGGCATGTTATGCGGTCTTTTGTTTGGGTTGCCATTTTTGGGTATTTTTTTTTTTTTTTTTGGGATTTGTTTTCTTCGGATTCGAGGGGTATTGTGTTCTCTGGCAGCTAAGGTGAGGTGAAGAGAATTTGGCTGGGTATGAAAATGAAGGTTTGGAAGAGAGATTCGGCGGGGAATTTCAGTGGCAGAACCCCAGGGAATGGGAAGATGAGGGTGAATGAGTGTGCTTGTCGGGCAAAGTGAGCTGAGGCTGGCTGGAATCAGGCGTCAGTGAGGCTCTCTCTCTCTTTCTGTGTCTTTGTGTCCTTGTGTCCGGCCGATGGCGGGGTAAGGAATGGCGGTGTTGGTGGTACCGTGGCCCGGTGCTTGGCGGGGTCCGTTGGGCCCCCTGCCTGGGAAAGTGGGGTTGGGGGATGGCCCCAGGGGGGGGGGGAGCATCAGCGGGAGGTTTCTTACCTTGTTTGCAGAACAACGAGAGGCTGCCGTTTGCCGATGCTCAAAGGGGTGCAGACGATGGTTCTTCAAAGGTTTTCATGAAGAGAATTCCAAAATTAGGAGAAGGAAAAGGTGAAAAGAGAAAAGAAGTAACTTCTTTTACTCTCTCAAAAACGGGATTACAGCCTTTTATGAAGTGCGGTCCCGAAAGGGGCCCGCTGGCATTTATTCGGACCCAGTCGATATCGCGTTTGGCGTCGCAGGGCGCCGGGCTGCGATGCGGAGACCCCAGCCCGTCCCAGCCCAGCTGAATGGCCGATTTGGAGTGGTTACCTAACGGGCTGCAGTCCTGTTTCTAGGACTCTGGCATAGGACAGGCAGATTGGGGTTTTCTTCCCCTTCTCGCTCTTAAGCTGAGGAGCTAGGGATCTATCCATACGACATGCCGTCTGAGGAGTCGTAGCTGGGTGGTGCAGCACAGCCCCTGTGAATTCACCGCTTTGGGTGTTTGGCTTGGTAGCTGAACATGTTCTCCACGTATGTCAGCTTTGAAAGGCATGGATGACATTCTGTTGAGTAAGAACACGTGGAGGACGCAAGAATGAGGTTTTTAAATAGAAACAGGATGCGGGAGATTGACGTGAGATTCTCCCCTTTGGTGTTGGTTGATGGTGTGTACCGGTAGGACTGCCATGTCCTCATGTCCTGTAGTCTTCAGCGTCAAGTCCTAGGGTTGGTTGTCTCTTAGACCCGACACCGGAGACGCGCCGACTGTAACCGGATCTGGACTCAAGTTCAAAACTGCTGTCTCTGAAATCGTAATGTCTGTAGTCGCTTGCTGGCCATCAAGCTGGAGCTTCGGCAGGCTACCGGCACATGCCGGACCCTGAACGGGATGCCCCGGAGGTCTGGGCCTCTGTCACTAGCGACTCACAAGTCGGCTCAGTGAAGAGAGCAGAAACAGCGAGGTTGCGTCATTGGCCCGTGCGTCAGCGGCATAGGACACCCCAGTGACGCTCAAGTAGCCAAACCTTATCAAACCAATCACAGGTCCCCAGTTTGACAGGCACAGCAACGAATGGACCTCAACCGAACATACACCAAGAAAAAGCCAAGACGAGCGGTTTCCGCATGGCATTTTACGCTCCCACAAAAAATCGAAAAAAAAACCTGTAATCTTGCCTAGGCCTCTCCCAGCCTTTAAGGTTACGCGCCAAGTCATGCCAGCGCAGCTTGTCGGGACCAGCTCGAGACCTGGCCGCGCCATATCACGCTATGGCTACCTCATAGACGGCTTAGAGGCTTGGGGTTCTCGCATACAAACATGTCGATAAGCCTCCAAAGGGACGATGATCTCACGCTGAAGTGAACCCTGGTCGAAAATAATGCTCTTGGTATCGACCCGTCGCATCAAACACCAAGAAGCTTGGCTTCCCACCCGCTGACGTACACATACTCGGCCCAGCCCGAAAACACCATGACCAGCACGTAGAGTAAGGGGTGGAAAGGGGAAATCACCGCCCAGAAGGCCAAGAGAATCGCGTCAAATGAAATGAATTCCACTACTCCTCTGTAGGCACCATACAAAAATGAGCCTGTTCCCCGTCCGCGCTCCCTCCCCTTCCCCCTAGGTTTTGGAGGAATCAGTCCTCGAGCGAAACACATTTCGTCCATACGGTAGCAACAGCACCAGTCGACTGAAGAAAGGCCCTGATGGCAGACCATCCCGTCACAAACCCAGGCGAGGGCGTTCAGTACCTCACCGAAGACGAAATCAACTCCTTTCTGGACGATCTCGACCACAACGACGACGGGTACATTGATTACGCCGAGGTCGAGGCAAAGCTCGACGCGGCGCACGATGAGCTTGCGCCCGCCAACCAGTTGAAATCCCACCACACCATCAAGAAATCCCACGATTCATACGATGACCAGCGCCGCCATGAGTTTTTGAGGAGCATCATGGGTTTGTCCCGGTCCCGTCCGGGTACCCACTCCGGCGCCGATGATGATGCTTCCGAGGGCGCGGAGACGGACGCACGTAAAATTCGCATCCCCCGTGCCGAATTCGCGGAGCGTGTACGTGATTGGAAGATTCCTTCCCTGAAGCAAGATAAAGCCTCCGAGGACAACCAAAAGACGTACGTACGCCGCCTGCGCCCGTGGCGCCGCTTACGCGCCTACTGGGCCGTTCATGGGCCCGAGATCGCTTTCCTGGCTCTAGTAGTTGGCTTCATCCTCGCCTTCGGCATCTGGCAGTGCGTAAAGTACGTGACGACACCGCAATATCGCGCTGCCTTTGGCTGGGGTGTCGTTATGGCCAAGACCTGCGCTGGCTTGCTCTACCCAACCTTCTTCTTCCTCATCCTCAGCATGTCGCGATACTTCTCGACGTTCCTCCGGCGGTCATACTACGTCTCACGCTTCATCAACTGGGACCTCAGCCAAGCTTTCCACATCAGGATCTCCATGGCAGCACTTCTCTTCGCCACGCTACACGCCATCGGCCACTTGACGGGCTCCTTCAACCACGGCAGTCGTCCCCAGAATCAGGACAGCGTGGCGGAGGTCCTGGGCCCGGATATGGTGCCCCGTCCGTACATTGAATATGTCCGCTCTCTCCCCGGATTCACGGGCCTAACCGCCCTCGGGCTGTTCTACACCCTCGCAATCTGCAGCCTACCGCAAGTCCGCCGTTGGAACTACGAGCTCTTCCAGCTTTCTCACCTTCTGATGTACCCGATCATCGGGCTGATGATGGCTCACGGCACCGCGGCACTTCTGCAGTGGCCTATGTTTGGCTACTTCCTCGCCTTCCCCACGCTCCTCATCCTCGTAGAGCGTGTCGTCCGCGTCGGTACGGGATTCCACCGCATTCCCGCGAAGCTCAAAGTGCTCGACGGCGAGACGGTCGAAATTACCGCCACTATCCCTAGCGAGCGCATCTGGAAGTACCAAGCCGGGCAGTATGTGTTCCTGCAGGTGCCCAAGATAAGCACCTTCCAATGGCACCCGTTTACCGTCTCGATTTGCAAAGGAAGAGAGTTCCAGCTGCACATCAAGACGGACGGCAACTGGACGAAGAAGCTACGGGATCTAGGAGGGGAGACGGGAGAATCACAGATTGACGTGGGCATCAACGGGCCTTTTGGCGCGCCAGCGCAGCGGTTCTACGATTTTAGTCACAGCATCATCGTGGGCTCAGGCATCGGCGTCACGCCCTTTTCTGGCATCCTCGCGGACCTCCAGGCGAAGGATGACGAAGATCACGGCGGACCGGCACATCACGGCCACCACCGGGACCGTCATGACTCCGAGACGACGGTCACATCAAGTAAGGAACAGACAGACGACGAAGAGCGCAGAAAGAAGCAATCAGAGGCGACAGACGGCAACGACCCTTCGAAACCGCCGCACCCCTCCGAGTCCTACACGTTCGCGAGCGACTATCGGCGCGTAGACTTCCACTGGACGGTCCGCGACAGGAACTACCTGCTCTGGATCGCGGACCTGCTCAACTCGGTATCGCGCAGCCAGGACTGGCACCGCGCGCACGAGGGCCCGTCGCAGCACCTAGACATCCGCATCGCGACGCACGTCACGCAGAAGCGGCGCGACATCGTCACGCACGTGTACCGCTGGCTGCTCGAGATGCACCGCACAGACGAGCACCCCGAGTCGCCCCTCACAGGGCTGCTGAACCCGACGCACTTTGGCAGGCCTGATTTCGACGACATATTGGACAGGCACTACGAGGACATGCGGAAATTCCGGGCGAGCAAGAGGCGCAACGGAAAAGTCGACGGCGGAAATGCCACCACCGGAGACGCCAAGCCTGTCAACGAGAAGGACAGTGGAGGAGGACAAGGGGGATCAGACAGCGCGGGGACAGACGAGAAGGCGAAAAATAGCAACGGCGGCGGCAATGGGAGTGCAAACGGCAATAGCCCCGACGCGGACCCCAGCGCTCGCCAGAGCAGGGCAGAGGAGGAGGAGGAAGAGGACGAGGAGATGAAGGTCGGCGTGTTCTACTGCGGAGCGCCGGTTGTCGGGGAGATCCTGGCGGACAAGTGCCGGCAACTCACGGTGCGGGGGCGGCACGACGGGAGCAAGATTGAGTACCATTTCATGATTGAGGTATTCGGTTAAGCGGGGGGGGGGGGGGGGGTCTCGGTTGGTTTTCACTCCCAAGCAGAGCAAGGCAGAGTAGAGCAGAAGAAAGCAGAATGTATCATGTATATCGTATATCAGGGAAATATCAAGGCGTCATGGACGTCAAGTGAATTGCAGCAAGAACCTTACACGGACGTGACGACTACGACGACGACGACGACGAACGGCGTTCGGCACGCATTCCGAATTCCCCCTCCCCCCCATTTCTTCACTTGAGCGTCAACTTTTGAATTCTGACACGCATGGCTGACGTGTAAGGCTACGAGTTACTGGTACGGCTTCATGAATTAGAATGCTTAAGCAGAAGTGAAGAAGAAGAGGAAGGGGAAAAGAGGAAAATAAGGTTTCAGACTACTGTCTTATTCCCCTGTTTTTTTGTTTTTTTTTTTGACTCCCTTTAGGCATTGAATTCACGGCCGTCGGAACTCTCGCCCTGCGAACTCATCAAGGGTCGAGGAGGGTCGGGGGGGTGGGGGGTGTATAGATAGATTTGGCCGCGGGTTATGCGGTTCTCGAGACAAGGTGAAAAGTATACAAAAAACCCGCTCATTCACGAGGCGTGTAAGAGAAAAAAGGGCGGGAAAATAATAGAGAAGACGTGAGTTTCCATTTCGGCAACTCCTTTCTCTTTCGCTTTACTACTACAACTTTTACTACCATTACTACTATTATGACTACAAAACTCCCGACGACGCGCCGAAACACCCATGAACCTAGTCGATCAATCAAGTGTTTCCAGTTGTGGCATATGCGCATCCAGTTTTCCCCCCCCTCTCTACCCTTTTTCCCGTCCTCTTCTGCGTATGCCTGGTTGTTCCTCACTTTAGCCCCCTTGTTAGGTTTCTCCCGGTAGGGCGAGCCGCCCACTTCAAACCCGCAGAAGGGGAAAATAAAAAACAACACACGTCCCGCGCAGGAAAATTCTCCGGCGGGCTGACTGGAAAAAAACCCAGGATTCTACATGCCATCGGTTCCCTGCCCAAACCGTGCGTGTGTGCGCGCGGGCACGACTCGGTCTCGTTACCCACTTGACACACGTCTCGTCTTGGCCTCGCCTTACACTTGACCCTCTTCCCCTCCCCCTTCCCTCCTCTTGTTCTCTTTCTTTCACTGTTTAGTAGTGCTGCTAAACCCCGTAACGTGTGAAGCTTGACTTGTCCAGTCCTAATGGTGTCTCGAGAACGTGACCTGAATCCGTAATTGGATGCCAAGGTGTGAGTGTACAAGGTGATTTTGACCCGGGATTGGGCTTTTTGGGGTCGTCAAGGACTCCCTGTGAAGGTAGTAAGGAAAAGGAAAAAACAAGGGTAAATCGAACCAGGAAGCCAAGAAGAAACGCCGTGTGGACGTCGATCACGGGCATCAGTATCTGCAGCAATTGCAGCAAATACCGTCTTGAGACGGCGGGGTGTAAAATGATCTGACCATTCATGGTTTTTTCTTTTTGTCATTATTTCCCTTGAACTGTCAATGGTGTTTTTTCGCCGAGGCGCTTTGCTACAAATGCTATGCATTTTGCCGAAGCGGCAGCGAGGACGGCAGGGTGGGAATCAAAACGTAGCACTGCAGTGCAGAGCAGAGCAGGACAGGGCAAAGAGACGACACGACTTGACGGAAACTGAGAAGAGGGGATGACACACAGAGTTTTCCAGACGACAACGGACCATGTTCTCCATTCGCCCTGCTTCAATTTTTTTTTGCAGGAAAAGACGAGAACGGGCACGCTCGCAGTTTGGCCCCACGACGAGATGACGACGCCGTGTACTGTGGTTAGAGCAATATAATAAGAAGAAGAGAGCGCGAGGACCACCATACTCGCCTCACCTTCGGCGGTAAGCGAAAGATTAAAATTAGAAGAGCCAGATAGACAGACGGACCCTGAAGGCCACGGCCGAGAGAAGACCCTTTACGCCAGACCCTTCCTTTATTATTTTCCACCGAGGTTGATTATCAGCAATATCAATTCGAGACTCCCAAGCCTCGTGTGCATTGAGCCGCAATCGCCAAGAAAGCATTTGCTGATCTACGCCAGGCTAAAGCCAAGTCATTCAACAGCCGGAAAAAAGCTCGACTGCATTTGTCCTCCAGTAGTGCCTGCGCCCAACGACTAGGAAGGCAACGGCAGCGGCGGCGGCGCTAGGCGTAAAATGGATGTGCGTTTGGATCTGCTTGTTCTGCGTTACATCGCTTACTCTCATCATCTTGGCACACCTGATTGACATTCTGCTGCCAGAGCTTGGGTCGTGCAAGGTTTGGACCGAACATCATCCGCAAATCCATTTTTGGACACAGCAACATCGCCGCCCTATGATTGGGGAGCAGCGATGGAGCCAGAACGAGGTAAGCTGCGTGTACTAGTATGGTGCTGTAATCCTCCAAGAGGCGAAAAGGCAAGCAGACCGAGACGCTCTAAAACGAACTGGATCCCTGCTCTTCTTCTTCTCTCCCCCATGGTCTGGTAGTGCTGTCGATCGATCAACAGTGTTTCGCAGCGTCCGGGCAGGGGTGTCTGAAACGGACAATGCGTGGGTGCCGGGATTGACGTTGGAAAGAGAGGGGCCTGCCAGAAATTGCCGTTTGAGCCGCATCTGAAGCACTAGAGAATACTCAACTGGATCCATATGTTTGCAGTCGCAGCAACTCGTCACCACGTCGCCTATCTGCCGTGGCATTTCTATTGCATGCCATAAAAGTGTCAGGTTAAAAACAACAGTCCATGTAAAAAGAGTCCGTGATGTTTGCTCTCCGCCATCGCCTCCCACTTCCCGCCGGGGGGGACACGTCAGATTCGTGAATAGCGTGTAACGAACAAACTTCAGATAGTTTGTCAATGGTTAGGGTTCCGTAACACACAATTCATGTTCGAGTCGGCGCAGATCAGCCTATCGAGGGCCATTATTACCGCAAGTACAATCAGAGGTAAAGACAGGCTAGCTGCGTAGTAGGCAAAAGAAACGAAGCTCGAGCGTAGGTGGCAGTCGAGGGTTGACCCGTGTAAGCCAGTCAAGTGCCCTCCGCATTTGGGTTTTTCCTGCCACTTAGTTGAGGCATGTGTCCGCTGAACAGAGAATGGAAAGCGAGAAGGCCAGCAAACTGTGTGTGAGTGGACACAGCTAGCCAGGCACCGCGTAGCGGAAGAGAGGGTCGAGACATGCCATCTGAAGGGCGATTCGTTGAACGGGGGCAACCATTCTGGGGCTCAAAGTGCGTTTGGTATGTCGGTTTCGTGCGAGTGCCGTTGAGGGGGGGGGCCGAACATCTGAGATGGGATGAAAATCCACGGACGGTTGAGACCCGGGTTGGGCGAAATAGGTGTGGGTGGTATGGGTGGTGGTCCGCGTGGGGTGTGGGAAGGAGGGTTTGGTATAAGACTTGGCCTTCTCTGCCTCGATCCCACCTTTCACCGGTTCAGCGGCCTGCGGTCATCTCATCCCGATATCTTCTATTCTAGTAGCTTGTCTTTCTTTACTGCGGCCGGACCGCCTTTTTTTATTTCTTTATAAAAAAAAGTCTCATAAGCGTATAACGTATATTCCCTCGAAACCGCCATCATGCAGCTATCCTATCTTCTCCTGTCCGTCTTATCTGCTACGGCTCTTGCCAGAGACCACAATGGGGGTCGCAACTCGACACAGGCTCAGTGCAAGCGGTTCCTGAAGGGCGAGGCGTTGGTCAAGGTTGCCGGTAACGACACCCTCTTGGCCCAGATCACGCACAACAACGCTACCAAGATCGACCTGATCAAGAAGAAGGCGGCCGAGGTTCAGCCCAAGCTTGATGAGGCCAAGAAGAACACCACTTTGATGGCAACATGCGAACAGGTCCGTGCCGTCCAGATGGAGAACGGACAGTGCCGCTTCATGAACCGTATGGACCATCTTCAGAAGCTGGTTGCCAACGAGACCACTCTCAACGCCGTTACCAAGAACAACGCCACCAAGGCCGAGAAACTCAAGGCAAAGGTTCAGGAGGGTATGGCCAAGCTGGGCGAGATGCAGAAGAATCAGACTCTTCTCCAGTACTGCTCGGCAAGAACCACCAAGGGAGAGTGCAAGGAAATGAACCATCTCAAGTAAGTCCTCTAGTAGTGGAAGAGTCTGCCGAGACAACTGGCTAATCACAACCTATAGCAAACTCATTGCTCTCTCTAAGAACGACACCGCCCTGAACGACAAGTTCAAGGGCAACGCCACTAAGATCGAGAAGTTCAAGGCCAAGGCTGCCAAGAAGGAAGCCAAGCTCAACGAGATGATGAACAACTCGACCCTCATGGGTGTCTGCCAGCAGCTCAAGGCCGGCAAGGGCGGCAAGGGTGGTGCCAACAACAGCCAGAACGGTATCGACAGTGGCGCCGCTGGCGTCAGAGCTGCCGGTGCCTTCAGCTTGGCTGCTGTTGTCGCCGTCGCCGTTGGCTTGGTGATGTAAGCTGGCGACGAGGACGAGCTGACATTATCCTGCTGGACCTAGTTGGTTATGCACAGAGATGGGTGTCGAGGGGGACGTCGGCCTCAAGTAACAGCACAGAGGAGGCCGACGTGGTTCGCTACGACGTTGGTGTGCGTCCGTCTTGTACAAAACTGCAGTCAGTTAGCTGGGGATGCATTTTAGTGTTTCACTCATTCGGACAGCTCGACGTGGACCTGACCGAGGCAGTCCATCGTTGAAAGGGCTCCAAGCTATGATATATTCGTATATAATGAGTGGTTCTAAGTAATGTGTTGGTAGAGCAAAGAGAAATCGGAAAGTTACAGTCGTTACCAGGTCATTAGATTGTGATGCCACGTTGATAATATCGTTATATATGGATATTAGATATGACAAAAAACGCCTCTATTTCTGGTCAATTTGCTGAACGAACCGACCCGAAATATCCTGGAGCTGAAGTAATGATGGGACCGAACCAGTCACCAGTGAAAGTAAATGCAAGTGAGAGTTGTTGTCGCAGCCGAACACCATATGCCCTTCTTGACCAAGTCCAAATGTGATGCAGGTAAACGCCTGTTATAAATTAACTCATGTGTCTAGAAACGGGCTTTGGAAACTTACCAATACTGGAAGAATGGTGAAAGTCACAAACGACCAATGTGCCGCAGGGTCCCATCCATAAAAGTCAGATGCAAATGCACCTTTGCAGAGGTGAGTGGGAATGAGTCTGAAGTCCTTTGTAAGTACATCTCATTAAGAAAGAGCCTGTCTCTTACACAAATTGATGTCAAATAAGTATGTATTTGTTCTGTAAACCAGAAAATGTTGTTGTGGCTGGAGTTAAGTGCGTTGCTGATCAGGATGAGGTGTGATTCAACTGTCAGAATCACTAGCGGCATCATTGAAGAGACCATTACCAACTCTTGTTCCGCGAGTGCTGACAGCAAGTGTTTGGCGCAAAGAATCTCCGAATGCCATCTTTCGGCTAGGAGACCAAGGCATGATCGGTGACCAACGCCCTGAAGGCCGAGGCCGGGGCTGGCGACGACTGTGTCTGTGTTTACGAACTGATTCAAGCTCACGATATTCAGGCGTTTGAGCTCTAGAAATGTTTCGACGATAGGTTTTTTGAGGCAAGGTTGCAGGATTACGTGCATCTTTTTCATGGGAAGCTTCATCAATGCTAGCATTGTTAGACACCGCGCCGACAGCCGGCGATGTCTCAAGATATGGCTTTTTAGTAGGAATCCACATGCTGCTTTCGTGGCCTGCTTCGGCAATTAAAGAGCGCTGATTGTTGCCCCTACCATAGTTAGATGGTGTTTTGTCACGTTTTGGTAGCCCGACCCCTTCTTCCATCTTGTCTGTCAGTGCAACTGAGCTGTGGGCAGCTGTGTGGCTGCGATCATGCAGAGGCGAAGTTTGGGGGTGATATGGTGGGATTAAATGGTTCTGACAGACGCTGGAAAGAGTTGTACGACTGTGCGTTGGACTGACGGATGCAGAAAGCTGAGCGGCAAGCTCCACACCTGGAGCTGGAGCTGGAAGTGTAGCGTAGATACTCTCGGGGGTCCTAGGTGACAGCTGAGATGTAGTGTAAGTATTAGAGAGTTTGCGATTGAGAGTTGGGAAAAGTAATCCTTACCGTGGCCGTGATTGATGAGTTACCGAGTTCGGGATTCTCAGGGGAGGAGCAGACAATTTCGTTGCTTACAACTCCCTTTGCAACCTCAAACGTCACGGATCCGGCCATGGGCAGGCCGACATCGAGATTCTTTGATGGTGTAGAGCATAATGATTCTCTTGAGTTTTGCTCAGGCTCAAGCGCTTGGATGTCTCTAACGAGACGAAGCTCATCAATCATGTGGTCAGGTGTGAGGAGCGGCGCAAGAAGAAGAAGCGGAGCATCCTTGCAATTGACATTGTAATCATCAACGGCAGCCTTGACCGCTCCAACGAACCGGGCAAGTACCTCAACGTAGCTCAGGGCTGTGGAAGTCATTGGAGACGTGGTAGAATATTTGATGGGACCGCGGCCAGCCGACCGAAGGTTGTAGGCCTTCATCTCGTAGATGGTCGAACTAAAAGCTGGCACTTTTAGTGAGAGATTATTGAAGGATGAAGTGATTGGTGAAAGTGATGTGCCTGAGATTGAGAAAAAGCCGACGCAAGAACTGAGGAAGAGAAAAAGAGCACAGGAGAAAGTACTGTTCTGGTTTTCGTGGAAAGAACAAGAGCGCACAGAGGTTGCGTTGCCAGAACTGTAATGGAAGGAAGGAGGTTAGACTCTGTGGAAGTTCTTACCTTGATTGCTTATCAAACCCGTCAACATTGTCAAGCTTAACGTTTCCAATGGTATTTGAGACCGACGTAAGAGGACCTGTGCCGCCCCTTCCTTTTCGTTTCTTGTGTCCCAGTTTTTAAAAAGAGCTTTATAAAAAATCAAAACGACAAGAAGCACCGGGGCGCCTGCTGTTTGTGGTAGTTTACAGAGCTGGAAGGTGAAACCTAATGCCAACTCACCAGTGTTAGTTGTCCCGAAAAATGGTGATGCTGGTGATCCCCGGGTGCTTGATATTGTTTACTGAGAGCTTTCTGAGGTGAGCCCATTTTGTCAATTGACATGAGTTGGTCTGATTCTGATGATAACAGAGGCTATTCGGGACCATAACTTTTTGTCGAAAACATACACCCATTCAATGAGAGAATGTCACAAAAGAACCTTCAAAGACCGTATAGGCGAACCAGAAGGTAGGATTTCCCAAAAAAAAAACCAAGTAGGTAGCTATTGACCTATGGGCTCCTGTTGAGATGCGTAATACCTCATCTATCTTACAGCTCACATCCATGCCTGTCACCTCCACCAAGAATCGCAATGATCCTCCAGCTTCTATAGGTCAAGCCAACCAGCAACTCCCAACATTATCGCATCGGATATGCCATATCCATTTTCTGAGTGGGCGTCTTCAATTTCTTCAATCTTTCCAAAGCCGACGATGGCCTTCGCCGCAGGCTTACCTTTTGAACCTTCCACCTTGATTATGGGAACCCTTAAGCACCCTCCCTTCATAGCCGGGATCAAGATGCCTTGACCATCTTCCTCCTCAAAGTAGGGAAGCTTTATCCTCCCCCAGCTTTCGGGGTCCTTGCCCCCCGGACCCTCGGGCTTCCATAACCACGTGACGCTCTTGACCTCCAAGTCCGCCTCAGGGACGTTTTCCGCAGCAAGAGAGCCGTTCTTACGCTGCTGAAATCGCTTCAGCCATTCCTTGACGCGATCCGGCCTCTCCACGACTTGCACGTCCTCGAAAATGAGCCTTAATACCTTCTGGTCACCATGATGCATTGCCTCGCACCACATTGGGCCAAGCACCCGTTGACGAAGGACAATATCGTCAGCAGACCACTTGGACCAGTTCACCTGCCGGTCGTGCTTCGTCACCTTCGGCGCGTGGCATAGATTATCCTCTTCCTCCCCTTGAGGCTTCCAGCCAACATCTTCAAGAGGCGGGACGTGCAAACCGCGGCGCAGGCCATCAACAAGCATCTCCGCAGCTAGAGGCGTAACGATGTCATGCAGGTGCTGTGTGGTACAGTTATCAGGAACCGGGATGCCTGGCAGTGGAGTCTGGGAAAGGATAGTGCCATGGTCAAAAGTCTTATGGTGGAGGGTCTGGAGTGTGATGCCCGTATGAGTACGCCTTTGGAGGAGGGTGTGCTGGAGGGGCGCGGGGCCTCGAAAGCTGATGATGTTGGTCAACGACGGAGGCACTTGAGGGGATATGATGAAGTTTACTCTGGGAGAAGAGAGGGGTGGACGTTCAGTCCCCCGTACTTTGCCAGGTTCAGAAGCCTCGGCGGAACGAAGAGGCCGAAGGAGACGGCAATGATGAGGTTAATGTTGTTTTCAGGCTGTCCGTGTCAATGGATGAGTTGGCCTGCGGATCATCAAGGATGCCATACCTGCCACCCGGTAAACGTGTCTCTGACATGAATCGGTAAATCAAGATCCTGCGCAAGGTTCTTCAAAGGAACTGCGACGCGGCATTAGCTGAGCTCGTACAATGGCACCACAATCACCAACTCACCTTCACGAATCTTTTTCATCCCTCTCCCCGTCAGCTTTCCTGGGCGCACCACAACATCCAGGGATTCGATAAGGGCCGGGTTGCGCCTCTTCTCCGCGTTCAAAGCAGTAAGCGCCGCGCAGCTAAACTCATCGGAGCCGCAAAATAGGATCCGGAGCGGGTCCGAAGTAGCGGCCCGCGAGTAGTGTCGGCAAGTTGGCCGGCGTATGAGGCCGGATGCCCGCGCGAGAGCGGCTGAACGCACCGCCAGCCACATCGTCGGTTTTGAGAAGAAGATTAGTTATCCTGTGACATTACCTCGTACGGCGGCGCGTCTGAGGCGCTTGGTGGATTCTAAGAAACCCCGTTTGAAATAAGCAGGCACACACACACACACACCTGAGGACATAATGATGGAAATAGTGGGGCATCGCGTTGCTCCGAGTTGTCGATACTGGGTCACTAAATGCTTGTGAATTATGCAACTATGAGATTATGCAACAATCATTTCCTCAAGAAAGTGACATGGACGAATATGGACATGTAACATCTTGAATGCAAAGAGTCACGAAATGATATTGCAAGAGATTTTATATACATCGAGTATCCTGTGATTTTACTTTGGGCTAAGAGTGGATGCACAAGGTATATTCAGTTATCCGGACAGTTTTCCTAGCCCTTGTAGATCCTATTCACATCTAACCTTGTGTCGTGAGGTTCCAACAACTACAACAGTCTGCATTTATTTGGGCGTCCATAGTGACATACTTGGTCTCTGAACCGATTCCAGCCGCAGTGAAGCCCATTCACAAAACTGCCCAATCGCATGCAACAATCCACTTCGTTCCCTGCAGCACGACTTCCCAAGCAGGCTGCGAGATCGCAACACTGCTTCCCACGACGACGGATGCCTTCTGACCTAAGCCTGTCAGCCGTCCCTCTCCAGCTAACATTAATCTCGCCGCGATCTCCTCCCTCATCTCTCCCGCCTCAACAATCCTCCGTCCCTTGACGATACACATCCTATTGCCAGGACGTACCTCATCGATAACAATCCTCATGACCAAGTCTGCTGGCCTATGTTCATCTCCCCAACCTTTGACGTCTGCTAGCCACGATTGTAGCTCAGCGGCAAGCCCGCCGGCAACATACTTTGGGCCTCGACGCTGGGGCGAAAACGCAACCGCCAGACTTTCTTGGCGCGCCGCCTCTATGTCGGAAACCTTAAAGCGCGGTGCACGCTGGAACGTGGGTTGTATTTTAGTCACATCTGTCTCGTCAAAGTCGGGGATATCAGGTTCTTCGCTCATGCGTGAGTCTTCATCTGGAAGAATAGCGTCTTTGTCGTCTAGCAACATCTCGTTCTGCTCGCTTGTGGAATGATAAACATCATCCTCCTCCTTCAAATGTGCGGTGTCGTTGTCAATGGCGTTGTTTTCCCAGCTATGCGTCGGTGTAATCGAAATGCGCCTCCTTTTCGGTGTCCTCTCCACAAGGTCGCTTTGCGTGTCGCCTTGCGTGTCGCCAGGAGCATCTGATTCGATTTCGATTGAATCTTTCGCCACAAGCCGGCTAGGCCTTGATATATGCTCCTCGTCGTCATCTTGGGAGTTGCTGTCGGCATCTGAATCGATTTCGATCCTCTCCTTCACCCTCTGCGTGCTTGCTTTCAGAGTCGAACGCGCCGACTGTATCACAGTGGCAGTTGCATCTGGAGGGGAGCTGTTCAACGGAGAACTATCCAGCGCATCATGGATAGGATCCTGGTGTCTTGGCAGCCGTGCCGTACTAGGAAAACCAGGCGTGGAAGGCGGGCGCTGTGTCGAAGGTCGCTGTGTCGACGACGGCTGAGCGAAGCGTGGCGTTGTCTGGAATCGCTGACTGCTCGCGAAGACCGGGGGCCCGCTAACTGGAGTACGCTGTGATTGTGGCGGTCTTTTTGAAAGCAAAAAGCGACGAGGCGTAGGTGTCTGAATAGCTCGAAGTCAGCGGATGAGGTGGACAGAATGCGAACTGGGCGAAACGTACTGATGGTGGTGGTTGCGTCATTGTCCCAGGGTCAGCCGAAGGGACCGCGTCGTCGTCGTCGAGCGATGTCAAAAGCACAATGAGATATTGTCATTGCGGAGATTGCTACGCGCGGGCGAGATCGCCAGACTGTCCGTCCCAACGGTATGAATGAAGGGCGGATTTAGTGGTTGACGTCGACGATTGAGTTGAAGACGCGTGTGGGGTCGCGTAAAGCAGTGGTAGACGCGGGTGCCAGATGTAGTAGGTGGGGTATTTCATGAGCTTCGGTAGATGCATAGCTTTACCGGGTGTCGGATATGGACTTGGGGCAACAGAGGAAAGTAGCACATAAAGATCAAAATTTGGGGCGTTCTGATGAGAGTTTATTGGGCTAGAAAATTGTTTGGACGATCAAGTTCATTGGCGTTGAGGCCCCGGCTTGAATGGGTAAGGGATACAGTTATGATGCTGGGATTCAGGCAAAGGAGGCATACCTGCAGCCTTCGCTTCCAGTGAGAGAGAGATTCGGTTTTTAAACTTGTAGTAGACAACACTCAAGTCTCGAAAGTTTAAAATACATAAGCTTTCAGTCGAATCAATAAACTAGGCCATGCCATGACATAGTGCTGGAGGATCCTGAGTGGTCCTTTATTAAGCTTTCATGGGTACCTGCAATTGGATGGCTGATTATAAAACTGCCATCCTCTCTACCCGGGGGAAAGCTTATTGCCACTTAACCATTGTTCAATAGATATTGAAACGCTTGAGTGCAATTGTATCAATAGGTTGTTTGCTGTTTTTGATTCACAATATTCATTGCAAGATTCCAACACATATTTCAGACCTGATGTGCATGTTTAATGTGAAAGTCTCAATGAGCTTGCTAAAATGACAGCCGCTACGGTATTTAATTTATACCACCTTTAATGTTTCCCTCTTTTTCCGTTTCATGTTTTATCCACAAGAATGGCCTTCGTCTCTTATGGCAGTAGTAATTAGACACACAACGCCTGAGGGACGGTTGCCGAAGCGCTGCCTTCTGCCACCCAACGATGCTAGACATGGCCGACCAAAAAAAAAAAGGCTGCTCACCAGTGATCGTTCCCTCACCTACTCATCCAAGTAAAGCTATTTAACATATAATTGAATTATACCTAAGATAGACTGGTTTCATTTTTCTGTTTTTATTTATAGTAATTGAAAGCCTCACATACCGACCGCAAGACCGTCCTGATTACCAGATTTATCCAATACCTACCAATATCTTCTCCCTACACGGCCTTTCAGAAATAGGCAGCACTTTCGCTTGCATCACAGTATGGGATAAGTTGAATGCTGACTCCTTTTTTGGCCGTCCAATCGTGAACGAGATCCTCCCATTCAAGCTTTAGTCAGCTTACCTTGTTTCCCCAATCGCATTTCTCTTGGCTCAACAGCAACCAACTCACTTCTTGCACACAGCATTGATATTTCTTAAAGAGCCATGGCTAAAAAGGTTTACTCACGAACTGTCGTAGAAGAGGCACCAAGCCACGATGGCAAGATTTGCTACGCTGCCTGGAAGCTAACGGAATCGGATCCCGATGTCAGAACATCGCCGGAAGCCTCCAACCGGCCAAAGTGGTCTATCCAAGTCTACGACACCACTCCCATGGCCGGTGATCGAGAACATATAATAACAGTCGCACAGAAGCTAGAAGAGTCGACCCGCCAAGGTCGCGACAGGAGGGGAGCGCCCAACCGCATCGAGGTCCACGGCCTCCCGCTACACGCCGACACGCCAGAGAATGAGCGCGTGGCGCGTTGCACGGCGCATCACCGGGCCGAGGTCGCCGAGCGGAATGCCACCGGGGTGACGGACTTTTTCATTCCTCCAACGTTCGACGACACCTGGAAGCACCGGGTCCTGATTATTGACAAGCCCGAAGGCTCGTGGGATGAGTCGGAGAAACAAGATGGTGCTTTCCTCGCTGTATTTTTCGACCTGCAGCCACAGGCCAGGGCCGAAGATCCCGATGGATCTGACCTTCATTCAATACGCTTCACTGGTGCTGATTTGGTTGAAAATTTGCGGAGTTTCACCAAGTCAATTGAGTGGTTTTACGAATCATACGTTGAAGACGGTACCATCTACAGAGATCTGGAGAAATGGCAACAGAAGGCATAGGCACGCCATCGAACAAGCTAAGGGATAAAGACACAGCGGAAAGCGGAAACCAAGAATAGCAAAAAGGGCTGTTCTACTCATTTGTTGTCTATAGCAAAAGTAATCGAATCCAGTCATCAAAGACAACGTGCGACCCAACATTGTAGAAGAATACAAGGCCAGAACCAGCAACAGCCAAACCAAACGCCATCTTGACACCGAAATAACGAGAGCATATCGGTTAATGTCCTGTCTCAAGAACATACTAGAGCGCGGCCTTCACCGGCAGGTTTGCGACCGCGTTGCCAGCAGCGTCAAAGGTCATGGCAGGATTTCCATACGCCCCGTATGCCGACATGTGGGGGGGACTGTTTTCTGGTCGAGGAAATACCATTCGTTCTGCAGTCGCAAATCCGTTTGCGCCAAAAGCTTTTCTCACCCATTCTTTCTCGGCATTGGCTTCTCCGGCTCCGTAATTCAGCCGGAAGGCTTCTCTAGCCGCTGTAGCCCAGGTGCCAGCCTTGAATTCAATGTCGCCTAGATAGGTGTCGATCCAGTAGCTATACAGCGACCGCAGCGACGGATTAGCGCCGTCAACGCGCCTCGGCTCGTCTGCGTGCGATCCCCAAGGGTAGCTCAGATCGAACTCGTGCAGGACTAGGTCGATCCAGTTGGAGACGCGCATCCACTTGTTCCAGATACGCTCCTTGCCGTTTGGAGGGACGTAGTTAAGGTATTGGAAAACGCCAGCGTGCTGTCAAACGTACGGGGCCGGTCAGTAACCATTTCTGTCTCGTATCCCCAGCACGGATACCGTATATTTCTGACGCACTGCGCCGGACCAAATCACTTACAGTCCTGATCCAATTCCTATCCTTGTTCACTTTTCTGCCAGCCTCGATGTCCAATGGAGATGGCTGAGAACCTTTGAAGAAGGTCCCCTTGTTCTCGTTCACCTTGTCCTGGACAAGAGCAAAGTTTCTTGTCGTCTTGTCGATACTCATCCCGCCGCGCGCGGCAACAGGATCGGATCGTGCAATGCCGTAGGCCATGACATCGTCGACCGACGCTCCCCCGTTAGGAATTCCGAGGGCTGCCCTATCTGACGGCTGGAGAAGGAAGATCCGGTTGCTATCAGTCTTCAAGAGAACCTCTGCAACCCAAGCAGGGCCTGGCTTCAAAGTGGAACCAATTTGAACGCCGTCCCCGTTGCCGAGCCACTCGAAAAACAAGGCCAAAGTCTGCTTCTCGTACACATGGTCGTCTACAGTTTCACGGGTTAGTCTCTACTTCCACCATTGGCAGAAGAGACGGGTAGAAACATACTTTGAAATTTCAAGCCTTCAACTTGCGCGCTTGAGCCAACTGCAAAATCCCCTCCGCATTTTGCGTCTTGTTCGAGATAGTAATACTTGTCAATCTTGCTGTCAGTTCTGGCATCAGCGCAAGGCTTGTGCTTCCCGCACTCGATCACCAACTCCTCGCCATTGACCTTGACAACGGGGTTATCTTCGGTCAGAGCACGGTCTTGCAAGATTCCGTCGCGGACCTTGACGACGGCGTTGGAAGCTGGGCAAGCCTGGCCGCCTTTGCCGTTCGATTTGTCCAAGATGCAAGTGTCACCGGCAGCGCGAGCTTCGAACATGGAACCCCATCTGGCCTCCCTCGCCTCCCTTTTCAACTTTGGCGAACTGCACAACTGGCAATTGACCGCAGTCTGGCCAGGGGAATCGGAGCTCGTCGTAGTGCTTGTACTGCTCGTAGTGGTTGTCGTAGTCTGGGGATCTGCTGTCGTTGTGGCCTCCGGTTGCTTCGTGGATGCCGGAACTTCTCGGTCCTGAGTAGGTGTCGGACCATCCTCTTTCTTCGTCTGAGGGGGATCAGGCCTGGGGTCAAGTTTCTTACAAGCCTTCTTGTTCTTCTGTTTGCACCCAACGCTCGTTCCGACTGAATCCGGCGCGCCAACGAGTGCGTTGAAGGTGTCATCGTAGGCCAGGTCGATCTTATCTAGACCGCAGCTCTTGCTAACCCAGTCATCAAAGTAGGCGGCAGGCCCCAAGCCGTTCTCTGCGAAGGACTTTGCACCTTCGACAGCCAGTTTCGTCGCTTGTCTCGCCGCAGTGGCAGCCTGTCCCACACCCGGCACTAAAGCGAAGCCAATTTCGATGCTGTTCACAACAGCCTGGGTGAACACAGCGCAGATGACTTCGTCGAGTTTGGATAGAGCTTCGAGGACAGGCGTTATGAAGGCCTCGGCGATTGGTTCGATCTCCTCGGCGCAGAAACAGTCCCCTGGCTGCCATTTGTAGCCGTCGCGGTCTGTGGGATAGCTCCCATCAGGAACGGGTATGTGCGAGGAGTGGCACTTTGTTTCGGCGTGTTAGTCTCAGCTATAATGACTTTGAGGGTTGTTGGACATCTCTCTTACCCCAACAGAGTCCTCTGGCTGCCCTTTCGCCTTGCACCAAATCCTGCAAGGCTCCAAGCCGTCATTGGGGCTTGGATCTATGTAGTTGATACACTGGCCTTCCTCGGCCATGAATGCAATGAACTCATCCCAGCTATCTCTTCGAGCTAAGTTGAGGGATACATCTTGGGAGCTAACCGCAGCGAAGAGCATGCCGCAGAGCAGCGGTAGACCCGCAAAGACTTTCATCTTCGCAGCTTGACTGACGAATACTTGGAACCGAAAGAAAAGGAAGTGACTGACAAAGAAACAATGAAGGAATTTAGCTTGCTATTTCATGAGAGATACTCAAAATTCCACTGACAGGATCTTGATTCTTTATACACTTGAATGGTGAATGAGGTCCCTAGCCTACGGTGACCACGATTGAGATTCATCGCATCCCTGATCCTCTATTTTGGTCAATAGCGAGGCTCTATCTCGAAATCATCTGTTTCAGCCACGGGATATCGGCGTAGCTATTCCTGATGTCGATTGTCGCAATGGGGGCAGCAAGTTCTTCGCCATATCTCATTGCTCCAATAGGGACAAGAAAATAGCCAAGAGCGCGCTTATCTTATTCGCCCTCGGGGTCGCGCCTCTAAAATCAGACATCCCTAACTAAATTCGCAGCCGTGAGATAATTGAGTTACTTGTAATACTGCCAGGCACCCAGGTCGTAAGTAGATGCTGGGCAGCTGTCAGCTTACCATTGCAGGCAAATGGGGGGCGGTGTTCAGAACCGAATTAGACGCAGCCGCTACTTCGCCGTTCCGTGCTTCTGCCCCTGGACCTGCCAAGATATTACCCGGCGCTTAATTTCTGGTACTCTTTTTTTACAGAATGAAAATAGTTTGGCCAACATTGAAACTGCATCTGAGAAGCTTCTGTCCTGATGCCAAGGTTTAGATCTATATTCAGCAAAAGAATGCTGTTCCTTGGCGGTTTCTCATTACCAAATCTAGCTCATTCCCAGGCCAAGCATCGTTCAACAACAAAGGTGCACTGTCAATATGGTTGCATACTCAGTCCTGCATTCGGCTGGGCGTAATTATAGGTGGAATAAACTTCGGTGGACAGGAGTTAGCACAATTGCGCGTTACGAGTTGCATACGTTTGAAGACTAAACCTAACTCTAAATCTACACATAGTGATCAAGTTGCGCAATCATATACGGCTCATACGTCAAAGAAAAGTGCTAACACCCAGAGAGATGGATTGAAGGACTGGTTCTACTTAGTTTTGAACCTTGGGAAAGACTGAAACAAACGACAACGTCAGCAGAGACACGTCAAGATGCGATCTTGCAAGGTGTTTGAATATATTGTTCCAGACTAAAGATGGCATTATACTTGAGTACGTTAGTTCTACAATGCTGTGGTACTTACGGACGATGAAATTGACTCGAAGCTACGCCGGAATCCTTTCATAGAGACGGCCAAGCCGTCCTCACATTTTATTCAAGACTCCGGAGGCCTTGCCATCTACATTTATGTAATTGTACTGAAACTGATACAGCCGTGGTTGAAGTCAAAAGTAGTAAGGGCAAACAGTTTGTGTTTTGAAGACCGGGACTACTCAAAAACTTGAGAATGCTCGACTGTTAAAATACCTAGAACAAGTCAAATTTCTCACATCATCTTCATCTTCCTTGCCAAGTATAATATGGTTTCTGAATATGGGGAAGAATTTACAGCAAGACCACTAAGTAAACGGAATAGTGAGCTAAACCCTGCTTTCGAATGTGGTATGAGAGCCCTGGAGCAGTGCCCATTGCATTTACACACCTAATGAATGTGGCTGTTACGTGGCATCGAATTGAACGCGGCAAAAACAAGTGAGAACCACAATCTTCTATCATTACACCCAGTCCAGATCGCCAAACGGCCGTCGGATGAATGATTGCTTGTCTAACCGTCCCGTGATTTGATCCACCGGTAAAGAACAGACGACAGCCTCACTGGCGCCCCGGTTCCCACACCGATCACGTCCCACAACAGCCAGACACCACATGGCATCACCTCCGAGCCTGACGGTACCGCGATATTGCCACTGTCACAAGGCCGGATGTTGACGTGGCCGCCCTCGGCTGTCCGCAGCCAAGTATCTGCAACATCATGCTAGGGCCTGCACGGCAATCGGAGAATATCCCATTTGCCGGATACGCATTGATGTTGTGTAACCTCTGGGAAGTGCAGAAAGGCTTGAGAATAAAGTCGACATGTGTGAAGCAACTGACAGCAAACAGATGAGAGAGTCATGAGTTCTGCTAGCCGGCAAAACAGGATCCTCTGTACACAGACGACAAGAGGCCGCAATAGAAAGAACGTGAGGCATTCCTAGCATCTCAAAACCGTCGTCATTTCCTCTTAAGTTATGTTTTTCCTTGGATTTTCCGTTAGATAAATCCTTCTGCCTCAATCTTCCTCTCTAATCCTCGGCTCTGTAACCTCATCCCCTCAGTCTCTTCCCCCATCTTGTAGCAAGTAAGACTAACCTGCGTAAAAGCATCGAACTGGCTTCTATATAAGTATCACAAACAAGAGACTTGGGAATTTGAGTGTAGGTATACAGAAGCGTATGTGTCGCGGAGAGCCTGAGCTCAAACGGCAACGTAGGTATGTAGAGTATGATCTCAAGTCGAACATACCAGACGCCTACGTGCTGGTCTCAACTCATCCACCCTCACTATCCCCCTTCACAAGCACATGCGTCTCAACAGGCTTCAACAAGCTCTCACTCTTCTCTCTCAAAACGGTCGGCTGCCAAGTATGAGCCTCACACCATTCTTAACGCTCATATTAACAAATAACGCTTAAGTTCCTCGGCACAGTCACCACAAGGCCTCTACACAGCTTCCTTAGACTCTGGCTTCATCAACTCCTCAAAGTTAACCCTGTAGATATCCTTGTTCACTTCTGCAATGCCAAATGTGATCTTCAGCTCATGACCGCTCGTAGAAACGAACCCCTCTCCCCCAAAATGGCCAGTCTCCAGCAACAGGGACAACCAAAGTAGGGTTTCCGCACCTCAAGTAATGACAGTCTTCTGATGCTGCCGTGGTGGACCAGAACCATACAAAGGAGGAATAGCCTCTAGTTGCGCCTCGTCAATAGCCAAAACATACTCCATATCCCCCGTTTCGCCGTCCAACCTGCCAACGTCTATGATGAGACTACGCCGCCGCTTCTACACCACTAACCTGGCCCCAACATCTTTCAGAAACTCAAACCATGCTCTAGGATACCTCCTTGTGCTGGACCTGACATGCTAACATGAAATCATGTAACTACTATAGAACAACAAAACTCCCGTTTCCTTCACAGCCTGTCCAGCCAACGAATACGGGATCGCCTCCGAAAACGTACTTAGATACGTATTAGACAAGTGTGAAGGAATGTATAGCAAGCCAAAGCAGAAGTCTGATTGAAACCAAGATTAAAGATTAAGCGTCGTAGAAACAGTACAATGAGCAACAGAACCACCGGGTTCCCTCCTAACTCGTCCAACCTATCTTCGTAAACCTCATCAACACAAGTCCCTACAACTCATAACCCATCTCTCTGAACTCATCTTTCTTAAGAGGAATGAATATCTTTCTCATTTTTTCCCCTTGGAAGAACCACTCTCCCTCCCATCATCATCGTGATCACAGCTATCCCATGTAATGCGAGTCCACGCCCACAGCCTCGACAGAAGCTCGGTATTCAGATGACTCGCTAACCCCACGCTGGCCATGCCTTTTCTGGAGAAGTTTCGCGTTAAAGATTGATTGCGGAATATCTCCACGGGAACTGCTAAACTGAACCACAATATTGAAGCGCTTTGTGGCCGCGGCGGTCGCCAACCAGATTGTTGCCGCTGAGACCGGATGTCACGACTACGTAACGAACATGTTGGACTGTACTCGGGTGTATAATCAAAGGTAGCGACCTCAAAATGGATGGTGTTTCAAGGAATATGGACATACAGATTACATCTTCCGGTTATTGGCACAGTAGCGTATTCCACTAGAGGTTTTTCAATTTCTGAGCCTTTATAACGAGACATTTGAAAGAATGACATGGAAGCCGACTGAGTTAAACCGAAAAACAAACTCTACTGTTTCTATTGAAGATATTCTGTCTTCTTCTAGTTTCGAGTCTCCCAGTTCAATAGTTCGTGAGACGGGAGCAAGCGACGCAAACGTACCGATTCTTGTCATGACGGCTACCTAGATACTTGCATGGCCAAGAACTTCCATGATGGGCAAGATTGAACAAGTATTAAAAATCCCATAACAAGATGAACATCAACATACCCAGAGCTACGAGGCAGAGGTCTGGAGCGGTTGTCTATTGCAGTGGGCAATCCGGAGCGGAGTTGTGTCCTTCGGCTCCGGGAATGGTCGCCAGGCTGCTGTCCGGCGCTGTCCGTCGCTGCCCCATCCACATGTCTTTTGTTCAGTTTTGCCACTCAATGTCTCACGGGCCAGCCCACCACCACCATCATGTCGTTGTCACAGGTTAACAGCACTCTTTTGCGTTTTTCGCCTCGCCAGAGACAAAGTTCAGATCGAATACCGAGGCCACCATATCCTAGGTTGACCAGGCCTCCGATGCGACCTTGAAAAGGTTCGAGCGCATGGATTCAACTGCGATCGGACGCCCATTATACTTATTCGAATACTCTTAACTCTGGGGTTTCCCCATCGGATGATGACACATGTGAGACCTTAACTTGTCAAAGAGTAAAAAATGGGAAACCTGAGGGCAGCATGGAGACGTTGCATCTGTCCACGTCCGAAGTTTCCGGACAGTTCGCGCGAGGCAAACAGGACTGGAAGAACCCAAGGCAGAAGGTCTGATGGTGGGAGGCTCCCATCCCAGGGCGTTCGTTGCCCGTGAGACGCACTGCAACGCTACGACACAACTGACAGCCTGACTCGAAAAGGAAACTGGACGTTGGAATTGTCTCAAGCAATCACAACTAGACTGGAGGGCCAAGCGAAAAACGTCGCTTCCAGAAAACAAAATGGAATGAAACAAAATAACGTTGCCCAGACAGGTGTCGCACCCACGGGCCTCTTCATGAAGCCTTGGAATTTTCTATATTCGGCAGCGGAGGATGTCTCACGAAGCGGATGGAAATTGGAGGATCTTGTGGAGGATAAGGTAGCGGCTGAAATGACCGATGGCGGCCCGGCAGTAGATCAGCTTTGGGGCTCCCGG